ATGTAGGATCAATACACTTTAGAAGAGACAAATTCTCATGCTATTAAAAAGATCACAGTCTGGTCACAAAAGACTCATAGCTCTGTAACCCCCAAGTATTTAGTTGTTCAAAAAGTCCATCTGTGTTACACGCATTCGAATGTTAATAATTAAGGCTGGGATATCAACCTCAAGCTCTGAATTTTCCCAGATACTGTCAGTTTCAATCTGACTCTTGCCATCACTATAGCATGTTTTTGCTTTTAAAAGGAATGGTAAGGTCCTAGGAATATGACATCAGCCTTCCTAATGAGAGAACCACAGAAAATAGGGCTGGAAGGGACCTTGCAAGGTCATCTAGTCCAGCCCTCTGCCCTAAGGCAGGATCAATTATACCCAAATCATTCCTGACAGAAGTTTGTCTAACCTGTTCTTAAAAATGTCTGGCAATGAAGATCCACAACTCCCCAGGCAATCTGTTTCACTATTTCACTACTGTTACAGATGTAAAGCCTGTCGTAATGTCTTCCTTAAATCTCCTTTGCCACAATTTAAATCCATTAGTTCTTTCTGTATTCCCAGTGGACACAGAGAACAATTTATTACTTTCCTCTTTGCAGCAAGCTTTACATGTCTGAAGACTGGTATCACAGTCTTATGCCTTTCCCTGCATCCCCTTTCTCAAGTTCTTTCAATCTGTCTTCACAGGTCATGCTTTGTGCTGGATTTCCAACTGGACTGCATCTTTCTTTTTCGAAGCATAGTGCACAAAAGTAGACACATTACTCCAGCTAAGGTTTGAAGCAGAGAATAAACAGGGTGAGATTATTTCACATTTCTTCTCCATGACATTATTTTTAAAGCTGAAATGGCACTAGCTTTCCTCACACTGTGGCCTGTGTTCAGTGTTTAATTCCCAGCAGTCACAAATCCCCTCTTGCAGAATAATGACCACTGATTCAGTTGCTGCCATCATTTGTGCATGTTGCTGGCTATAGGAATTCACTGGCAAGATGTTCAACACTTAACTTGTTTGAATCTAAACCCACTCACTTCAGACTACCTTGTTTAGTAAGGAGCTCATGTATCTGTCAGTGTCATTTCATTGAGAGCACTGCAGTAACATCAGAAAATAATTTAGTCCAAGTTGCCCATCCAGCACAGAGGAATTCAGCAATGGTTCTTACCATTAGTACCATATTTAGTATATTCTGAAATAACCTGAAACACAATGATGTCAGTTTAGAGGAGTTGAAGCAGCTTAAAATACAAAAAATTACTCATGAAATGTTATAGCTCAGAGCTGCCAAATTAGTTTTTCACCTGAAATAGAATTACAAGTTACCCATCCACTTTTTAAAAGCATATTAAGCATTTAAATGAAATTTTTTAATTGCTCTGAATTTGACCCTCATCTAATTTTGATTTTTACCAAGTATTTTAAGTAATTTGGAATGATTTAAAATTTATATTGGAACACTAAGTAGCTCAAAGGAACAAGTCTTCTAACTCCCATCAAACTCAGATGCATAATTCCCACAGGTGCCTTTGAAAATCTCTATTTTCGGTGTTGTTGTCCATTTGATAAACAGCTCAAAAATCCTTGGCTTTTTACACAAACATCATCTGCCTGAGATAATTTATGAAAATCATAAAATTGATTTAAGCTCTTCTCAGTGCTCCATAAATTTTATGCAGCCCTTAAATTATAAAGCTGCTGCTGCTGCTGTGGCACTCATCAGAACAATGCTTAATCTCTTCTCTCAAGATAGTTGGCATGTCAGAGGAGAAAAGAAGGGACTCGGGCAGCTGAATTGTTTGTTTCAATTTAACGGGGCAGAATAAAACAGCCTAGATGCCAGGGCTCTAGTCCCAATGAGACTGTGTGCATCAAGGTTTTACTGCAAAAATAGTTGTTCTAACCTTCCCCTGCTTTTCCTCGGTTTTAAATCAGAAAATAACTTTCATTGATTTCACAGGGACTCTTTTTGCACACATCATCAGGTTTGTGATACTTGAAATGTTCCCTGCCTAATTCATAATCAGTGTGTTCTCATTCTCAGATATACGACAACAAAATTTCGCATCTGTACTAGGACTGTTTTATTTTTTTTTAATCTCTACCTTCTTTAGCAAAGATTAAAAACATTTTTGGAGCTGAATATAACACAAGGTGAAAATAAAGTCCTAGCATAAAGAAACTATGTTTGAATGGACTCCTTTACTCTTAAATTTGGCCTGGTCACATATTAAAACTGCAGACTCCTTTATTAAGATTTTGGCTTGTGCCAGCTAACTGAGATTAAGAGTACATCCATTTTTCTGGTGAAGTCTCATCTGGAGTAGCCCAGTTTTCAAAGGCAGAGTGGCCTGGACATTATTAGACTCAATCTTTTCAGTGTTTCATCCTGGGGATCCAAAGTCAGCAGCTGCTATAGTCTTTTTCTTAGCACTGACTTTCCCACTCTTTCCACTCTCCTGGTAACATTCCCTAGTCTGTCATTCAGAGAGTCGTCATCTTTAAGGGATGCATTTCAACCTTTCTCTACTCACGCTTTTCTCCCACGTAACCCTCTGAGTTTCATCCTTCCTCATGTGCTGTTTTTGCTCAGAGGTATACAAACCATCTGTGCCTCTAATACAATGTTCTTAAATAGCCTCCAGGCAGATCTCTATGGTTTTTAAGTACTTCTCTTTGCCCTTCAGCCTGCTGTTAACCATTTTCCTCATAGTTTTATAATCTGCTCTTTTTAAGTTCTTTGTTACTGTGCTGTCCCTAAGGGAACAACTCTTTCATGATATCAAAACTAAAAGTGTGCAGTGATCAGCGTTGCCCCACAGAGGTTTGACAACACCTTCCTCTAATAACTTCTGCCTCTTACAAGGTAGTTCCCTCTTGCCCATGGCCTTAACTAATCAGGCATTGCACTGTGGATGGCCACAAGAGTCAAGGAAAAGGAATCCTTTGCCATATGGGTTGGAATGGCACCAAAGCCACTTTACATCTCCTGATAAGAGGAAAAAACCTGCTTTTGCCAGCTGTTGCTTTACCTCCAACAAAAAATAAGAAGTGATAATGGGGTAAACACTACAGAATTCAATCTTGTATTATTTTCCTGACTGGTCCCATTCATTTTCCCCAGGAGGAAGTTACTTTCCAGGGGCTGGTTCTGAGATTTTACAGGTTCTCAAAATCTTGAGGAAGCCTGCAGGAGATTGCAGTCACTCATGTGTGCTGTGTCTCCAGTGGTTTTAATGGCTACCATTGTGACTGCTGCCTGCGGAATGCTCTCAAGGAAGTGGGGCAGAAGGGGAGGTCTACGACATGAAAAATGTCTCTGCAGACTAATATCTTGCTCTAGGAATGGGAACAAAGGGATGATACTGAGGAGGCAGCTGATACACCAGCCTTTCTGTTTGCTGAATGCACAAAGGATTGATTTATGGCATCTTGCCACAGGAGAGGCCTATAGGTTATTAACCAACTTCAATGGACAAACACTTGCTGAGACTGCATATCATTCCTCTTGTGCTGTACAAAAGGTAATGACTCATCTTCAGGCATGCCTGATGTCCTTGAGAATGCAATTGGCTCTGCACAGCCAAGTGAAGCATTACTTAGTTAATAAACTACAGCAGAAGGGAAACAATCAGCTGAAACGATGACATTGCTACTTCCTGCTTCATTATAAATCTGCAGCTTCCTAACAGGATTATATACTGAAGCACTGCAAAAAAGGACGTTAAGTCCTGTGGTGAAACTTAAAAAATGTGTAATTAAAACAGTTAAATACAGGCTTCTTGTGCTCAGTGTTTACAAAACACAATCTTTGATCCTCCAAATGATATTTCTTGGAAAAGCACTGGACTCAAAAACTATAAGAATAGAATTCTGACTCATCCCTTCCTCTTTAGGCCAATTAAATGTACACTTGCAGTATAACAAATTTCGTTTTATTTCAGACTAGAAATACAACCAAAGGTATGAACTCCAAGGCCACCTGCCCCCACGTGTGTTTTCCTGGTCATTCTGTCCCCTGTTCTTCCAGTTCCATCTCAAAATGCAGTATTCTTGATGATTCACCTTGATTCCTATTATTTGGAGAAAGATCTTGTTTCTTCAAAAGAAATGAAGGTAACAGAGCATCTCACCTTTCCTAATGACATCCAAGCACCTCTGCAGTGTAAAAAGCCTCCACTATAAGCATCTATTGCTGCAATGCTACTACAGTTCACCAGGTTTGTTCCAGCTTACTGCTCAGCTAACACCATCAATAAATGTTTTAGTATTAATGAACCACGAAATTTCAAGTATTTTACTAATAAAAACTGTACGAGGTTCCTATATTAGGTAATGGGCCACATCTGACCAAGATTCCCATAATAGGTAACAAGCCTCAGCCACTGTCACCTTGCTCCATCAGCACTTCTCTCACACTTAGCTGGGCAAGCCCCAAGAGAAAATAAATACATATACCTTCACCGCTATGGCAGGGGAAAAGGATTGTGGATGGAGGGAGGGCAGAACAAGAGAGAAGGAAAACCCAGGAAAATTGTCCTTTCCAGTCCTAGCCTCACGTTCCACGTACTTACTTCGGTTTCCCCTTTATTAGAAAGTTCTTGTGATTATTAATTTTTCCATGATCCATTGCTTAAGGAAGTGATTGCTTAAGACAGTTCCACATTTCTTTCCTAAATGAAAGAGTAATTGTTCTCTTTAGTCACAGGTTTCACGGGGAGTTGATGGCGTGTGTGATTTTCCTGGTGCGTCATGTTAAGAACACTGAATTTTTACATGACTACCTGACTAAAATGCTTTTGTGCATCACTCACACGTCTTAATAAATATATCCAATCAGTTATTGTTAGGTGAGCTGGGAGTAAAATACAATGAATACAAAGGTCTCCTCCTGGTCAGAGCACTACAGTCATAGTTGGAATAAAGGAAACAAATTGGGTTTCTGTATCCACCTTTCTTTCCCCTGCTGTGTTGCCTGAAGAACAACATACCTTCCATTATATTACTCTCAAGTAAACCCAATTAATTTATTTGCATTCCAAACATCTGTCATGAAGTTGTAGGGCAAGACGCATGATTAAACAAAAGTATTGCACCCAATATTTTGAGATAACCCTCTTTTTACTGGACTCCAGTCTCCCACATCTTTCTCTAAAAATGCTAATTTTTGTTTAAATGCAATTACTAATAAGATTCAAACAACATCTTATTTGGAACGTGCCAAATTAGCTGCATATTTGTGAGGCCCTCTGTAATTTTAAGGCAAATCCAAATTCCCTCTGATCCTTGGCAAGCATTTATAGCCATGTCTCCTAAACTGCCTCACAGCTAAAGTGAAGAGCTTCCAGGCTGTGCAAGAAGAATGTAAGCAAGTACATTTCTGTGCTGATGAAAAGAGCCAGAAAAGTTTAAGTAAGCAGTCAATGGTTAATTCATTCGTTCAGATGACTGTCATCAAGTGAGAGTATTTGCTCAGTTGTTGAAATATGCCCAAATATTCCTTTGGTATGCTGGAATGCTACAAGACTTCTCATGGGTGTAATCTATATATATATTTAATAGATTCAAACAAGTTTAAAGTATACAAAATAAATGGAAATATGAACTCCTGGGAACCTTTGGTTCTGTACTTCTTCTTCCCAAGTTTGCTCTTCTTTTTTATATATGCAGAATACAGACAAATTATGTGTTTACAAATGTAACATGTCCTCAGGGGAATAGTCAGGTTGTCACACTGCACCTCTTTGGCAATTCTAATATGAGACCAGTGCTACAAGAAGATTTTAATATCCATTTATAGGACAACGCAGAAAGAATGGTGCCCTGCAGAATTTACCTCCTAAGGAGTCTTTCTGCTGTGCCTTTTGCAACCGGACGCGCCTGTCTCATATTGGCCTTTTTAGCCACCAGCGCGCCTGTAACAAACGTGGGTAGAGCCCTCCCCAAATCTTCATTTGCGAAGCCCAGCCACGACTGACAGGTCTGGCTTCAATTTTCTGAAAGGACAACAGATCTATTCATTTTCAAAATAAGGGTAACAGGCACTCACACAAATACTGTGGAACAGTATGCAGATTTGTATCTGATATTATGCTGCAGTAAGCTGGTATGTACAGAGACAGGTAGCAGTTACAGGAGGCTTTAATGTCACGTGACAAAAAAAAAATCTCATCTTATGTACTGAAATTTTTATTTAAATATCTTTGGACCACTTAAAAGAAAACATAATTCATTGTTTAATACCAGATGAACAAACTAAAATCAGCTGTTTCACACAGCAACTTGAGATTTGCTCCTCAGTGAAGCTTTACAGGCCAAATAATTTCAAATGTCCTGTCACACAGCAGAACTGGTTTCATAACCCTTTAACAGCAGTAATCTCAGTTCTTGCTTATATATGGTTACAGAACACACCATACTTCCAAATAATTTCGAAGTCATTAGTCCCATTTCCTATTCCTTATTCTCCCCAAACCCATCAGCTCTCAGTGTCATTTTGAATTTCAGCATTCTGTTACATAAACAGTGTACTTTACACCGGCAACTAAAATATTTTAAAACTTTGTATCACAGCTATAATGTTTCCCGACCTAAATTTCCTGTTTAAAACTTCCTACTTGAAGAATAAAATAATGCTTTTCCCCAGCTTAAAAATAAAATACATCTTTTTAAACAAGCTGTCTGAGATCCCAAATAATTATGAACACATAGGTAGCCAACTGGAACAAGCATACTTTAAGCCCAAAATACCATCAAACCACTGAGCCCATCCGTGTCAAATCTGAAGTGCACAATCTCCAGTGGTTTAGGCTCCTTTTGTATTAGTTGATAACATCAACTACAATCAAAATCTTTATATCTTGCTATTACAACCAATTCAAACAAATTTGACGTTTCTTGGACTGCATTCACCAAAGACAGGATTAGGACTAAGTGATTTTATCAACTGCAATGCTCTGCAAAGAGCTAGTCTGCCAAACCACAAGTGCAAAGGTTGTGCAAACTTTTGTTAAGCTGTGAGACAGAAAACTTCAGTCTCTCTTCCACAGAAATGAAGTCTCCCTCTTTTGAATGTCAATTCAACAATAACAGGTAAAATCCACACAACTGCCAACTAATGCTATTCAATATAGAGGAAATACATTTTTAGTAATGGAGGGCATTTTAAAATGTATTGACTGAAAATTTACATAAGATGCATATGTACAGGTATATTTTGCTAGTCATTTGTGACCTCAAATAGCTTTTACATACATGGTTAAATTCTCTTTAAAAATAAAGACATAACACACTGTTCATACAATTACAGCTGAACTGCAAAGACTTAGTTCTAGCTAATTTTATACTATGTTTCTCTAGTTGGACTATAACAAAGTAAGAGAATACTCAAACACCATGCTTCAATTCCTATGAAAGCCCTCAATGTTACTCAGATTTCTAGAAAGGCAAGTAAAATACAAAAAAACACAACCCCTAATCATCATTTTCCTCATCATCAAATGAGAGAAGACTGCTATTTTTTACTTGCTTAGCTGTACTCTGAGAAGTAGTTGCTTCTCTCTTAGTTTTCTTTGCTTCTTTCATCTTCTTACTTGAACTCACATTGAAGTCCAAACACTTCTCTGATGAACGTTTGGCTGGTTTCCTGAACATAATTTTTCCATCAGCAGGCTCTGGTTCATCATCTGTAATAAAGACAGTAAAATCAGAACTCATCTGCACATGCTTACAAATATTTACAGATCTTCACTATTACCTTGAACCACTATGATCTTGAACCAAGATCAGCGAGACCCCCAAAAGAATACAACAATCATGAAAATGTACATTTTGGCCACAAAGACTGTATCTAAGAACGTCCTCCATATGCACCCACCTGTTCCATGGCAACCAGCCTTTCAAGACAATCCTCCTGCAGTTCCTGTTAGAAATGGATTTTCACTAACCAGAGCTCTAACTTAGAAGAGACTGTAGGCAGTAGAGCTTTTCCAACACACTCAATTCACGTCCACTTACCAAAGTGGGGAGGACAACTTCATAGGATCCTCTAATCTCACTTCAGTATTTGTAAAATTCATGACAACAAATGCACTTATTTCAGAATTATGGTATTCTATAAAGAACAAAATAGCACGTATAAAAGAAAAAGCTTTTTTTTTCTTCTAATATATTCTGTTCTGCTGAGACAGCTAAGATCACATGGTCATAAACTGCCCTTTTAATATTATAATAAATGAAAGTTTCAGGGTTTCTTTGTATCTGCAAAATCATCAAACTATTCCAACTCGCTAATTTTGCTCTAGAACATGCAGAGAAGCAGACAACAATCTTAAAAACAAAAGTCTCTTTCATGATTATCAGGCAGAGGGGGAAAGCTACTGCAAAGAAACAGCATCGGGGCAGTATTTCTGGGAAAGAAAGAGTAACTGTAAATGAATCAGACACAAAGGCTTATGCTGCAGTAGTTTGCAATTTTTATAATGTACATGTGACAGGATGTTCAAGAGCCATACGTTCTATGCAAGATATTTTTACTAAATTACTTCTGTGAAATTCATTATTCAACAGAAATGTGTTTGACATGATTATGTGCTTTTTAATTATAACCAATAAATATCTTTTCTCTTTAGCACAAATCCTTTCCTTGGTACATCAGCACTATGGCAGAAGACTAACATTTCAGTGTGACCTACGTGGCACTGGCTGAAATTCTCTACAGTGCATACTCAAGACAATACAACTAAGAAATCTGGTGTCTTAAGGGTTGTGTGTTACAAATGAAGACATCAACTTGAGTAGCAAATTTCACTTAGAATTCCTTAAGTTTCAGAGACCCTTTTTAAAAAGAAACCTAGCTTAAAAAACTAATGTGTACTTCCAAAAGGTGCACGTGGGGAAGGGGCTGGAGCACGAGTCCTGAGGAGCAGCTCAGGGAGCTGGGGTTGTCCAGCCTGGAGAAACGGAGGCTCAAGGGAGACCTTATCTCTCTCTGCAACCACCTGAAAGGAGGTTGTAGCCAGGTGGGGATCAGTCTCTTCTCCCCAGTAACAAGCAACAGGACAAGAAATGGCCACTTGGGGAGGTTTAGATTGTGTATCAGGAAAAATTTCTGAGAAGGTGGTCAGGCAATGGAACAAGTCCAGGGAAGTGGTGGAATCACCATCCCTTGCAGCATTCAAAAAACATGTAGATCTGGCATTTAGGGACATGGGTTAGTGGCAGCATGGCAGCGCTAGGTTAATAGTTGGGACTCAATGGATCTTAGAGGTCTTTTCCAATCTTAACAATTCCTTGATTCTATGATTCTACATTAGTTTATGAGAAAATACTCCTATGCAGAAAATAACTAACCAGATTTTGGGGAAAAATATTTCAGCCTTGGTGCATTAGAAAAGCATTACAGTTATGAGGAATTACTAGCAACAATAAACTGTAGATATGAAAAGCATACTTCTGAATGGATTCATCATGGATTCTGCACGGAAGGCTTAGGTGTTTAGATGCTGCACAAGTTCAGGAAGTGCCTACAGTAAATTTCAGGAGGGAAATATAATTATTTCTGAAAGTATATCACACAATGAAACAAAATGCACTACGTATCATTATTCTCAGAAGCTGGTCCTCCATTTTTGGACTCAGAAGTTTAATAGCAAATAATTCTTCTTACTAATTGTTGCATAACTACAATGTTTATTTGGAAACACAGATCTAACAAACACAGACCTAACAAAGGTCTAAGGCACAATACAAGCCAAATTCTGGGAAAAAAAAAAGTATCTATAAGAACTCCACATAGGCACAGACACAACTATCTATGTGTCAGTGTGCAAACTGCATACAGCACCCCTACAGCTGTGGAAACAGGACAACCAGCTACTGCATAAGCATGAGCAAAAAAACCACACCTCATTGGATGAGTGATTGCTATATTTTCTTAGAGGGGTATATTTTAAAATTTAACCCCTAAAAAGGTAATGAAAGCATATCCACAAAAGAAAACAGATAAACAGCTATGTACTCATAATCCATGGAAAAACAGAAGCCAGAAATTTCATTTTTACTCACAACTGTCCTGCTACCCACGTTGTGAACTGCACAAAATAATTCCATTTTGCCTACCAGATGGAGAAACTGATAAGTATCTTTGCAATATGAATTAAACACCTAATAAGCTAAGTGCATAAACAGCAAAGCTCAAAAACTCCACCAAAATGGCAACTAGCTCAGCTCTGACCTCCAGGGCCACAATACTATTTGCAGATCATTCTGCATCAAAGGAAATTATTTTAGCTCTTGGCCTGGTTTAACACTGTCAAAATTACATTATATGCTCAAGGACATTCCTTTCAGCAGGAAGCCCAGGCCAGCTTCAGAGAGCTATGTGAGTTGGCAGTGCTTGACAAAGAATGAAGCAGATAAAACACAGTAGGCCTGGCCTTACCTTAGCAACATGTGGAAAGAGGGAGAAAGATAGGCTACACTTTTTGAAAGAATTTGATGTAGCAGTTCAAGAAATTTGTGTTGATTTGTTAAGATTGTCTTTTCCAGCTGGTAAAAGAACTTCACTTTATTCTGTCTGATTTTACCAGGCTCTTATGTATCAGCTATCTTTTTGGTTTGCATCAGTGACCTGCAAAAAACCTGACCTGTATTAAGAAATGCATAAAAAAGACTGAAGAAACAATCTCAGTGTTTGTACCTTTTAAAAAAGAGGTCTGATAAAAGACTGTTTCAAACACTGAGATTGTTTCTTCAGGATTTCTGATAAACACACAGAAATACACAAAGTCAAACACATAAAAGCATTGCAGGAGAAATAATAAAATCCAGTTCTAATAAATGAGTCAAAAAAATACACTAGCAGTTCAAATTCTGACTGTTCTTAGTCCTTGCTGCTTTTACCTGGATCACAAACTGGCTGACCAAGAGAAGCACAGTCAGAAGTTAAGCTGAAAACTCACTTCACAAGTGACAACAATTTAAGAAGCCATGAAGTCACAAAATATTTTCTTCTTTTTTAATTGGAAGCTATATATTACAAGAGAAGTAGAAATGAGGGTCTGAAAAAGAGGCACTACTCTTCAGTTTACGGTACTTTTTATTTAGTAGTTATTTGTGCAGTCAGCAATACCATTTTTCAGCAGTTTCTGTCCACATGGGTCAATGAGGCAACAACAGGAAACACAAATGCCACTAAACTGTCAGGAACAACAGGAGGAGAAGCACAAGCCATGTATGTCTCCTCACAGATAGAAGGTTGGATAAAAAAATATGACAGCCTGGTACATTTCTTAATGGTTTCTAAGGTTGAAAGTTCAGGTCAGCCATTTCAGATGCTCCTTCTAGTGCTTCCTGGCCACCCGTTCTCTCTCTACGCATGCCTTTGGAAGCATTTACTACAGGAATTTGGCACACTGGTGGTATGAAGATAAAAAGGCCAGTCTTGCTCTGGTAGTCAGTCTCAGTCGTTTATGAGAACACTTGGGAAAGTTTTTGTTACTTAAATACCATAAAATGAGCCTTGATTTAGGTTCCTGCTATTTCACATGATGCAGAGTAGCATGAACACTGTGGTATGCATCTGATATAACAGCTGCTTAATCAGAACAGCTTGTGCTGAATCAGAAAGAGCTCCGATGCCCAAGACACCACAGTCTGTATTCTCCTTGCCTCTCCCCTCTCTTGTTGTCCTCCCCCAGCACCAACACACAGAATGAAACAAGAGTAATATTACAAGGCTTTGAACAAGGACACTTTTTGCCCAATTTGGTCATTTGCATGTATCAGAGTGTCCAAGAGGCCAGCTGAACTAGAAAAGCAGTAGAAAAAAATCAATTTCATAAGCTGCAATGAATACTAGGATAAACTAGCACTAATTGACATATTTTCTTTTGCGGAAATTTAATTTCTCATAAGACTGCTTTTCTTTGTCTCTGAACCAACAGCAACAATTTATAAAATTATGCATAAAACATAAAGTAAAATTACTGTTGATAAACAGACAACTTCTTTTTAAAAAGCCTCTGAGTCTGTGCTCCATGGAGAAAAATATTTCAATACCGAAGGGTGTCTTCTCATATAGGAAAGGTTCAGCCCTAAAAAAAAAATCCCTGTGACTATACTTCAAAAGCCAACAGAAAAACTTCACTAGACTTTTGTTCTGCCTTAGAAGGCAACTAGGTGCAGCTTGGACATTAATCAACTGGTTTTACCAAATTAATGCAGAAGTGTTATTCATCTGTAAAAGAAAACGCAAGTCGTGGGAACCACTGGTGTCTGAAATAAAAAGTGCAGCCATGAGCCATGTCAAAATGGTTATAGAAGAAAATGAAGGAGAAAGGATGTAAGTGAGATACGGAAAACCCTCGAATAATATCCCAGGACAAAGCCTGAAGACAAGGTCCTTCAGATGAAGACAACCACTACAGATAAAAAAGAAAAGAGAGCAGAACCTCAAAACTGAGTACTTTCTGTGTTTTGAAAGACTAACAATTTGTGTTCATAACAGATAGTTAGTAGCACATTTCTTAGGATCTACCAAGGTGCCTCAGCATTGATGCATGCGGGAACGGAAGATTATCAGTTAAGAAATTTACTTCCCTATTACCATTTCAGCTTCATTAATTTCACCAATGATCTGATTTGGGGCTATATATTACGGTCTAGGAGACATTACATTAATTTCACTTTCAACTCTGGGATAAAAATCAAAGTAATATGAAATGCAATCAAATCATGCGGCACCAAACTTTCTTTATACTTCTCATTTTCAGAATTGACAGCCAAAAAAATAAAAGGAATTCACACATTACTCAAAACTCTCTTCATTAAACTGGAAAAAAACAGCTGTCTAAATGCCTGCCTTCAGGTAGAAATCAGAATTTAAATCTGAAGGTCAGACTGACAGTGCAAAATTGGCCCAAGACTCAAAAAAGCCTTCGGGAAGCTGTAGCAGAGTCACCCACACCTTTCTTCACTGAAAATTTCACACCAGGTCCTCTCCATAGCAGAGCAACATAGTAGCACTTACCCTGTTTATTCCCATAAGCCATAAAAAGAAAAAAGGAGGCCAAGACCTCGTATTAACAGCAAAAGCAGATGAATGACTAGGAACACAATAACGTAGAACAGAGGGCAGCAGTCTCCAACACTCCTGCTACCTACTACTATGGATTTTTTCCTCCAAATGCAAGTTATTACTGAAGGGCTGAAGGGGTAATAAGCAGAGGTGCCACAGGCCTATAGGGACTCAATACTACCATCCTCACTACACATAATTATGTCTTAGGAATGTCTTTTTCCACCAAATAAGTTCAGACACTCTATTCAAATACACTTCCATTTCATACTGTGTATTCAGGTTGGCAGCTCCTTTGGACTTTTTTCACAGCATGGACTCCACCTCAATAGATTCTCATGGACAACTACTTCTTTTTGCCCAGCCTTACAAAATCGTTTTTCCTCCAACTGTGATCATTCAAAGTTCAAGTTGCTTATATGAAAAGGAAACCAATTCTCAGAAAGAACCATTCCACTTCTTTCCAATAGGTTGACATTTCTCCCAATACTAGGAGGGTGAAAAGAAATCGTGTGACAACTTTACAAACTGCAACACCAAGCACCTCTATGCACTACACTTCAGTAACAAGAGACCAGGAAGGAAGCCTGAAGCCGAACATATATTCTCAGAGCAGTTCAAATCACATAAACACAGCCCATAGTTCACTGTCTGGTTAGGCCTAACATTTACATCTACACATCTACCTGCTGAAAAAAATCAGATGCAGTTTTATTTGGTTTCAAGCTAACCTACATTATTAAAATATAAGATTTTTCATCAATCTGCTTTTCAAAAAATGTAAAATTCTCAATGTATTCTCTCCCACTACTGTTATTTGAATTCTTCATTTATACCATTTAAATCTTAACACATGCTTCTACATAGTGATAGCACAAACCTGAATTTTCAAATCCAAATGGCAGAAAAAGAGAGAAGCTAAGGATGTCATATTGATAGCTTGTGCTAGGCCTCTCAATGTGCTCTAAATTCAATTTACAGCTTTTGCAAATAGCCACAATGGTTAACCACAGGAGAGGTCTACAGTTTCTATGAATCATCCTTTTTTTAATAGTTGTGAGGTTCCAGTCCTATATTCTTAATTGCCAAGACATTTCCAGTAAAGACAGTAATAGCCACATTCAATCTGTCAAGTCTTCTGTCAGCAAAAAATAAAGCTACATTTCATCACACCCTGTGTGATGACTGAAGTTTCTTGACACTCAAAGGACTTATGTCAACCCTATCTGAATGATGGATACTGCCAGAAATTCTTAACATAACTGTATTCATCAGCTGTAGTTTCACACATGGACAAACTGCAGCAACCCCTCTCACACCACTTCCATCTTTCCTTTCTGTCTAATTCTTCGTAGAAAAGAAACATTTTTTTCTGTACCTTGCGCTATTTTATCATCTGTTCAGTTTTGCAGTCACAACACATACGGGGGTTGATTAATAACAAGTAATAACATGGACCAGCAAAGTGAACACGTTCCCAAACATACACATCTGCCATTCCTTCCACTGAAGCACTGACTTGAGATTCCTCCTTCTGCCCATACACTCTCTTTCATGAACTCAGACAATTATCTTTAGGACATCCATTCCACTGTCAAATCTGGCTGAGCAAATTAATGAGTTCAAAAATTATCACAGGTGATGTCAGAAGACTGTGTACCAGGACAATGACATGCAATAACAACAACAAAAAAATTAATTTAGGGTGGTATTTGGAGGTAGGATGTTGCACAATCAAGAAGCACAGAACTGCAATATTATTAAAAGCCAGACAGCTTGAATATATATACTCAATGACTTGAGATTAGGAATCACAAGTGCAAATTATTTAGCTGAAAAATTCAGAACAACTAATCAAAGGTAATATTAAACAGTAGAAAACTGAGCAAATATTGTGTTCCCTTTCATGGGTTATATTTCTTTGACTACACAAAGCAAGAAGTTAGTAGTTTGAAACTCACCTAATTCATTTGACTTTAAGGCCTCTTTGATTTGCTGTTTAATTTTCATTGCTTCTTCAGCAGTCAAGTCTCCTTTCTTCAGTGTTACCACTTGAGGCTGCTCATCTTCCTTGTCACTGCCATTGTCACTATCATCATCTGCAAGGGGAAGCTGCTCTCTCTAGGAAAGTGAAATAAAAGCAATTCTGATCACCACTCCACATCACAACTGCTAAGGGTGGGCCAGTTCTCTTTGGCCTCACTTTTGCAGAAAGGTTAGTGGGGAGACTCTCTGACAGCTGTCAGTGCCAGGCCCTCCCAACTCACGTTGTCCAAATGGCACTCCAATTCCATCACTGAGACATAGCATCCCATTGAAAAAAACCAGCATGGGAGCATGGGCTCCTTCAATTAAAGACCAAAGGAAACTTGGAAGGTAAGAAATGCCTTTTGTTCATTATCATCACTGTACAAGCACTGTCTGCCACACAACACTAAGGAAGTCTTAAATGCAGGGGTCCCTTTGAACTTTCTGAGCTGTGCTCCAAACAGCGCAAAGGGAAATGTGGGACCATGGTGGCTGGGCTATCAAAGCTGCCTATGCAAATCACTGCAAGCAGCACTGACACAAGGAAGATCATGCTCCTGTTTCCACTCTCTCAAACTTGTGCTCTGAGACAGAATCATTTGGGATAAAATTTTATAAAAACAAACTTTCTGTCTTGGAAACCTCAGTGCAACAAACCTAAAGTTTGGCAATATAAGAGGAAATGAAAACTTCATTTTATAAGGAAGAATAGATAGTATTACCGTAACCTACTGAATTTACTAAGAGATAGACAAAACACAATCTTCCTAGTGAAGTGAAACAGTTTGTACTAAATTTATTAAAGGCATACTTTTATCTGATATTCTAGCTCATAATTAACTTTTTTAAATAAATCATTGTGACTATTACTTTACTGATCAGCCTGGAGAGGTTAGGCGATAAGGGCCTCTTCAGTTCAAGATCCAAAATATACTAGAGTTGAAGCTTAAAAGGCAATACAGGTAAATGGAATCAGTGGTGAAAGTCAATACGCTGACTGCTTGTAATAAAAGCTATTTTCAAAAGCAACTTGTATATCCACTGTGGCACAAACACAACTCAAATCTAGGCCGTGACAATGGGCCACTGGGAAGGGGGCTTTTCTCACTAGGTTAGTTTTGGCTACATACAGCTCAGGGTGGGATCATCCAAACATTTGTGCAAGTACAACTAGGTAAAAACAGAACTCCACAAACAGCACTTCCATAGCTTAAGTTTAAATTTCTTTAGTCATCAAAGAAAAACAACTTTACATGTGCTATACTACCAGAATGATGGGCTAATTTCTTAAGGCATCCTGTAAAATCCTAGAGGGAAACACGTGCAAAAAGCACCTTGGAAACAGAAGAAAAATGTGCCTCAGAAAGGCTGCCTTTTAACAAGCTGGGTCAAACTCTGTTGCCCCTACCATGCCTTCCTGGCCATCACACCACAGTTTGTGACCATTAAGCTATGCTTGGGTTGAAAAGGACATTAAAGATCATCCAGTTCCAACACCCTGCCATGGGCAGGGATACCTTCCACTAGACCAGACTGATCAAAGCCCCATCCAGCCCGGCCTTAAGCACTTCCGGGGATGGGGCATCCAGAGCTTGTCTGGGCAACCTGTTCCACTGTCTCACCCTCCTCACAGTGAAGAATTTTCCCCGTATATCTAATCTAAACCTCCCCTCTTTCAGTTTGAACTCATGTTAACTCCTTTCTAATACATTTTTTTTTTTACTATATTCTTAGAACACTTTTTTTCCCCCTTTCCCGCCTAGGCTTTGAAAGGGCCAGTTCAACTTCAGAAACCATGACCGTTTTCCCTGCAGCCCCACGGGCCCCTCGGGCACTGACAGGCAGGAACTGGCTGTCCTGCAAGGCCACCACGGCAGCAATGGCCAGGGGGGCACTGCGACGTCTCGCTGTTGCTTTGAACCGTCAACACAGAAGCAAAGACAAGTTACAAAGACTATTTCAGTCATTTTTAAGCGAGTAACAACTGCCCTACAGGGACAAAGCCCTGGAGCGCTGCTTCCGCACCGCCCACGACGGGGGTGGGTATCACAGCTCAGGAAGCGCCGTGAAGCGGGCGCTGCCCCTTCCCACCCCCGGGGCAGGGCGTTACCTTGGTGTCCACCGTGGGGCCCTCCCGATACCCGACCTGCCGCTTGAAGCGGCTGAGGAAGGCGGGCTCGGCCGGCCGCACGTAGGAGATCTGATTCCTCTTGCTCATGGCGGCCGCCCGCGCCCGCCCCGGGGCATTCCCGCGCTTCCGGGTGCCCACGACGGACCCGTCCCACTTCCGGAGTGCCCCCGTACGTCACGGGGCGGGGGCGCTCTCAGCCAATGGCGACGGAGAAGGGAGGGAGGGCAATGGCGGCGCCCGCGCTGGCTTCAAGGAGGGGGCGGGGCCGCGCCGCTGAGCGCCAAATTCAAAGGCTCCGCCATCTTGGAGCGGCGGACGCGAGCTGCCGGGGCCGGCGGGATCATGGCTCCGGGCCTGAGGGGTGAGGGGGCGCGGGGGCGCGGGCGGGAGGTGCCGGGGCCGGCGGGATCATGGCTCCGGGCCTGAGGGGTGAGGGGGCGCGGGCGGGAGGTGCCGGGGCCGGCGGGATCATGGCTCCGAGCCCGAGAGGTGGGGGGGCACGGGCGCCCGGGAGGGGCTGAGGGATGTGCTCCCATCGCGGGAAGGGGGGCGGAGCGGAGCGGGGACTAGGGACGGCTGTGCCCTGTGAGGGCATTACCCATGTGTGAGAACCAGCGGGGCCAGATGCGGCCCTGCTGGGGGGGCCCGGTGCCCCACGCGTGGCCCCGGGGGTTCCAATGTGGTGTGCCCGCGGGCAGTGCCCTGCCCTCGGGGATGTCGGGGTACCCGAGGGTCGTCCCTGTACCAGAATCACGGAATGTTCTGAGCTGGGAGGGACCCATAAGGGTCATCGAGTCCGACTCCTATGTGTGTGTCCGACAGAACATCCCAAAAACCACACTGTGTGCCTTAGAGCGTTGTCCAAACGCTTCTTGAACTCTGGCTTGGTGCTGTGACCATTTGTCGGGGGAGCCTGTTCCATGAACGGCCACCCTCTGGGGGAAGAACCTTCTTCTAATATCCAGCCTAAACCTCCCCTGATACAACTTCAGGCCATTCCCGGGGCTATGCAAGTACTTATCGGTCTGATTTCAGTCTTAAAATGCACTGCTTTCCTTATTCAATCTTACGCGATTTAATAAAACCAACTGTTTTAGAAGCTAAAACATTTCTCTGATGTGAGTCAAAGCAGGTAGGCTCGCATAGCAGCAGGATATTTAGGTAGTATGAATGTTAAAGAGAAGAGTAGTGCCTTTGCACGTTTTTATTAGTTCTACTTTTAAAGGAATCATACTGCAGTAAAACCTGTGCACTATTAGAGACTTTATAAAGTCTTTATTATTGGGCTATTTTTGAGGAATCATCTTTCATTGCATTTTACGCATTTTCAAATGTGGTTGTGTTACTTAGCTAATATTTTGACTTTATTTTATATGTATATAGTTTCACGTCAGATTCACCCTTAAATAAAAAATAAGTCCTCCTATCTACCTATGGGGTAATATGTGCCATCTCCTTGAAATGTGAAGCTATGCAAAATGAGGCTCATATCACAGAATCAATTAGGTTGGAAAAGACCTCTGAAATCACTGAGTCCAATCTGTGACCAAACACCACCATGTCAACTAGACCATGGCACTAAATACCACATTCAGCCTTTCCTTAAACACTTGCAGGGATGACGACTCCACCACCACCCTGGGCAATGCATTCCAGTATCTCATCACCCTTTCTGCAAAGAACTTCTTCCTGATGTCCAACCTAAACCTCCCCTGGTGCAGTTTAAGACTGGGTCCTCTTGTCCTGTTGCTTGTTGCCTGGTAGAAAAGGCTGGCTACAACCTTTCAGGGAGTTGTAGAGAGTGACAGAGTTGTAGAGAGCCTCCTCTTCTCTAGGCTGAACAACCTCAGCTCCTTCAGATGCTCCTGATAGGACTTTTGCCCCAGATAATGTAGAGGAGAGCTTTATGTATTACAGAGTGATCAATATTACTTCATAATAGTAAAAGTAACACAGCTAGTCAGTTGTGCAGGTTTAGGATATTGAGGTTTAGCAGTCGTGTCAGTAAAGCTATTTCATTTTGTAATGGTTTGTCTGCATTAAGTTTGCAATCTTTAAAATACAGTGGGAAGATATAATACTACTGGCATTTATGTTTCTAATTCTCCAAAACACTTGCAAAACCTTATATAAATTAACTTAAGAAACTACTCATTGCACATACAGTGACAAGTTTGTGCAAGGACTGGAGCTTTCTCTACCTCTGTAATAACTGCAATCTTTCTGTCAAAGGAAGATTGTTACCAAGTATTTTTGTGTGGTTCTGATTTGTGCATGACACTTATATTTATAAGGCTCTCTGTTTATCTCCCTCTGTACTACTTACAGTATTTGCTATTTAAGCAGGTTTTTTGAGCAATAATTTTATCTTGTTTAATTTGTGTGTGTGTGTTTCACTTTCCTTTTATAGGAGATTTACGTGACTCTGCAATATCTTCGTTGAACTCACCTAGGTAAAGTAGTATTGGCCAGTTCCCATATAAGAATAATCACATTACACAAAAAGTGCAAACAAAATCTAGTATGACTTTGTGAAATAATTTAAAGCTTTTTATTTCAGTCTTTTCCTGCACAAGATTGTTGCCTTTCTCTCCTATCTTCCTTATTATAGGTTTAAAAAAAGTTTCTCATAATAAAACTGTTGCTCTGATGTGTTGGGTTCCTCTTGGAATGCTGCTGTTCAGTAAATTCTCATTTGTCGACAAACTCTGCAACTGGACTCTGGAATTTATCTGTAGAAATATTCCACTAGGAACTCTATAATTTTGTGAGGAAGTCTTAAACCATAATAAAAAACCAAAAAGCCCTGCTCTATATACATGCTGTTTGTGCTACAACTCAGAATAATGTTATTCAATGAAAACATATTCGGGAAGCTAGTTTGGTGTGTCTTAAATCCAGTATAACACCTTCCCTTTCTCAGCTGCTGTTTGTGTTTTTAGCCCTTTCCTCGGCCACTCCCCGACTGCATATGTCAGTCATGAAGACCCTTTCCCACTTTTAAAACTATTCTCTTCCTTTCTCTTTAATGTCTCAGAGGGTTTTTTTATTTTTTAACTTAACGCGGAGTCTTTTTTCTCCGTGGTCTTTTTAGGCAGCACTTGTATACTGAAAGTTAAAATCAGTAGCAGTTATAACACCCTCCTGCTATAACTGCCTTTTGGGAAAGAATGAAGAAAGGTAAATCCAAGCTTGTTGCCACTTCATGTAAAAATTTATAATTCTTTAATATTTTGTGGGTATATTGGTTTTATTCCAGAACTCCTCAAAGCTTTAATCTAAGTCGTGCCCAGTTACTTATTCAAGCTACAGTTATCCATTGATAAATGCTACATTTATCCATTGATAAATGTGATGAAGGGTTAGGGACTTGCTATGCCTTATTTGACTCATTGATCAAGAATTGGTACTTCATTCCCTTCCTGCGAGGAGCAAAGAAAAATGCTAATAACTTTCCTGCTGGACTGTAGCATCAAGTGCTCCATTTGTCTATTAAAACTTTCAGTAGTAAGAAGGATGCTTGAAGCCCATAGTCTTAGAAACTAGTGAAACCTTCATTACAACACTGGTTTTATGTATCTCAAGTTCACTGTGAAATGTGTTCTTTTAGAGCTAAAGTTACATGCAACAGCAATAAATTCCAGTAACTGCATGTTCTTTGTTTTTTAAATCTGCCACACTTTTACCTTTAATAAACCTTGTAGTGAATTGATGTTCAGATAGAAATAGTACTTCAGGAGAGACCCTTGTATGACTTCACATGCGTAATCTGATTGTTGTGATTATATTTTATCAGACAGCTGATAGATGTATTTTGAAGCAATCTAATGCATAAAAATTCATTTAGTGTTGAAGGTGATGCTATCAAAGTTTTTGTAAGGGTGCGTCCCCCTTCAGACAGAACTGCATTAACCGATGGAGATCAAGGCTTGTGTTTATCTGTTCTTTCATCAAATACCATCCGCCTGCATTCGAAGCCTGAGCCAAAGATCTTCACTTTTGATTATGTTGCAAATATGGAAACGACACAGGTAATCACTTCCAGAATCTCATATCTATTACAGTTTTTCCCCAAATTTTGGCAACTACTAATGCTAAGCCTTTCTGCAGATGTAGTGCCTTAGGTGTAATTTTTTTGCAGTGGTCAGATTGGTAACACATTGTTATAGTACAGAAATGTTGCATGAAATTTTGCTCTTTAAATATTTTTGATGTGGGGTTTTTTTAATTGATAATTTCTTTGATTAAAGTTTGCATTAAAATTGAAGTTTACATTTGTAAATGTTACAGTAACACTATAGAAAATAAATGTACCTGTTGAGACAAACATATAAAAATAATTGGCAGTTAGTAGCTGACATTAAAGATGTGATTTGTATTTAAGGAACTTATGAGTTTATCTTCTGTTTGCTTCAATTCTCTTAATTTCCTGTAATTTCTGTCAGAAAACCCAAACCAAACCTCCCAAAACCCTCACCTGCTGTTATTTGTAGCTAGGCTCTTCTTGCAAGATGAGGCAAACAGTGCAGGTTTGTTGAATGTGCAGCGACAAATGTTAGAAGTTAACTAGATTTGATAAGTATCATAAGGCTCAGTTTTGACCTACTGATGGTATAAACTGCATAACCACTGGATCAAAATTAATATTGTATATTCAAAAGCAGTTACTCTGATGCTGAGTTGTTGCATTTTTCTTTCAGTTTGTCGAGGAATACAGTTTTGTCAGAGGGAGTGATTTATGTGATGAGGACTTAGGATATGTTGTTTTGCTGTGATGACTCCAGGGGTCATTGTACATATCTAATGTTAGGGAATGCATCTATTTTATACACTGTAAAGTTATGACACGGGAAACACTGATATAAAAGAGACCGAAACAAGTGGTGCCAAGTGCCTTCTCTCCCTTGTCCCCAGGAGTCTGTGTTCTCAAGTGTGGCTAAAAATATTGTTGAATCTTGTATGAATGGCTACAATGGAACCATCTTTGCATAGTAAGTCATTTCATAGCAATTACAGTTGTTTCATTGCCATTGCAACATTTGAGGAGATTGTGCTAATGAATAGTTGTGGTTTTAAGAGCCAGAGCCTGCTTAATGTTACAGTAAACTTTAGAAGTGCTTCCTTCTGTTGCACAACATAAGGAATGTTCTTGCAACATTGAATAGTACTTCTTACTCCTCTTCTGGAGGAATCTATTTGCAGGTGTTATGCTTCTAATACTTACAGCTAATAATGTGGATTGCAAACTCATTTCAATTTTACTATTATTTGTCTAAAAAGTAGTTTTATTGTACTATTAAAGAGAAAACTAGTTATTTTCAGTATATCCATAGTAAAATGGAATGAAAATTACTTTAGCTTGATATTTGGCCAGCTCGGCTCTTTAGTGACTCTTAGCTGCCTGTGGGAAAACTCATTAATGATAATTTTAACTTTCAGAATGTTTTCAAGGTAGAAATGTATCTGTGACTAGGAGTATGAATATCCTTATATTAACTCAATATATTTTCATTTTGAAAACTGATGAAGCACTTTGGTCAAGAAATGCTGATTTACAGGGCTAATCAAATCAAAACTGTACTGGTTTTTAGCCTAGCACAGCTTTTGCAAAACTGTGAAGTCCACTTTGTTACAATAAACAAATGGGAAATGAAGTGAAATTGCCCTGAAGTTTCTCTAGCATAATTAGTAACTACACTAAAGAAACAAAAACAGCTCTAAAAGAAGAAATACTTCTAAGTCAAATGTAACCTTTTGTGCACTACTGAGTGACACAAAACTCAAAAGATTGACCCAAAAATTAGTTTATTGTATACATCTGAAAGCCTTCATTTTAGTGCTAAATTCCACTATTTAACTTTCTGAGAGAAATAAGGAAGAAAATGGTGGGTGGTGGGGAGACAAAAGGTCATTTATCCCAAGAAATTTCTTAGTAAAATTTGCTGTTCTACTTTTATACTTTTCCAGCTGACTGATTTCTCAACTTGCCTCTATGTCTCTTTACCTTCAGTTTAGAAGAATTTTTGTTTGTTTGTTTTGAGCTTTGAGTTTTCCTTAAAAGATGCAGATTAATGAAAAACTCAGAGCCAGAATAAAGCTTTATCTAACTTTTTTTTTCCCTTTTGTTAGTGGCCAGACGGGGTCAGGAAAAACTTTTACTATGATGGGTAAGTGCACAAGAGAGATTAATCTTTCAGTGGCTTCTTAATTTTTTTATCTTGAGTTGAAATGTTGTATTGCTCAAACACCAGGGATAATTTACATTTTCATGTTCTTGTAGATAACTCTAGGAAATGGTGTAGTACTCAGTGCTTTATATCAAAAGAGTGAAGTATAGGTGCTCTCCTGAATCTTTTTGAAGATCTAGATTTTTTTTTTTTTTGCTGTTTTTAACAGGAGAGAATTTTTTCAGTTAAATAAAACATTTTTAGTAAGTTTTCTCAAAATTATTATTCTGCTGGTTTCCATTTTTGACTGATATCCCTTGCATGTGTAGAAATATATTCTAGTATGCATAGACCCATGTTCTAGTATGGGTCTTCCATATTAAAATATGTTGAGATTCTCAAAATAACTGTTTGCTACCCAACTAGACATTTAAGGCCTCTCTGTGTGTGAAGGAATCCCCTTGTAATCCTATTCTTCATGTAGTGGTGATTTTAAATGCATCAATCATAGAATCACAGAATTATTTGGGTTGGAAAAGACCTCCACGTTCCAGTCCAACCTTCAACCAATTAGCACCGTGTCAACTAGACCATAGCACCAAGTGCCATGTCCAGTTGTTTCTTGAATACCTATAGGGATGGTGACCCCACCACCTTCCAGGGCAGCCTGAGCCTCCCCTGGCACAACCTGGGGGCATTTCCTCTCATCCTGTCACTTGTTGCCTGGGGGAGGAGGTCGATCCCCACCAGGCCACAACCCCCTTTCACGTAGTTGTAGGGAGCAATAAGGTCATCCCTAAGCCTTCTTTTGTCCAGAATAAACAGTGTTGTGCTTGACATTAGAAAGTTATTGAAATAACTAAAACCATTTTGGCTGATATTTTTGAGGACTACATAGAAATTAAGTAAACATAGGGACAAATCCCCCCCCTCTTTCTCGTTCTTCAAATCAGTATTAAATAGCTGTATTGGTATACCTGCACATCTGTGCATGTTTCCTATGGAAGCCCAAATAGTTGATGCTAGTTTAGACTTAAGTAGCCTATGGACAGGTAAAATAAACCTCCATAAGCATTGTTTAGACTACATTTTACTTTGATTATGGAGTATTATCTTAGATCTTGAAAGTTGATTTTATTGCAGTTCTTCTGTAGTTTTGTCGTAAATTGATTGACTAAATGTGGTTGCTGAAATCTTCTGTAATGACATCTTGAAAAGGTGAACCATTACTCTTGAAGTAGTACTAATAGTTATTTTTTTTAATTAAAAATCTCTTTAGGACCATCTGATTCTGACAATTTCACTCACAGTCTGAGAGGTGTAATTCCACGGAGCTTTGAATACTTATTTTTTCTAATTGAGCGGGAAAAAGAAAAGGTACATTTATTTTATACTTATTATTGCAGTGAAAGTAATGTCTCAAAGTAAAGATTAGCTAAGGCTGATAAACCGTGTATGCAGCCGTTAAGTTACTAAGATTATTGCCATCTTGCATCAAATTTGTTAATGAGAAACACTTGCATCTAGGACTCTACCAAATTATAGTACAGTTTCTTCAGACACAAGTGTGCTTATATTTTGAGTCTAAAAATGCAAGTAGGTTTCTAGGCATGTCATCTAGGCATCAGAAATGTACAGTATGCAGAATATATATGCGAACTAGTAGGTTTAGATATGTATGAAAAGAGACTCGCTGCCATACAATGCCAGACTTAATAAAACCAATCTGTTTATAATGTAAATTACTGTGTTTTTTTCAGGCTGGCAGTGGAAAGAGTTTTCTCTGCAAATGCTCATTTATTGAAATCTACAATGAACAGATATTTGACTTGCTAGATTCTGCTTCAGCTGGACTCTTTCTCAGAGAACATATCAAGAAGGGAGTCTTTGTTGATGGTGCTGTTGAACAGGTGTTGTCATCTGCTGCTGAAGCATACCAGGTATTTTTTGTCACTTTTTAATGTTTGGATTATTTATCTTGATGTTTATTTGGTAAATATTCCTCTGATTAAAGCACATTTTTCTTTCCACAGTGTCTGTGATGCCTTCTTCCCCTATTTCCGTACTCTACAACACAGTGTAAAATAGCTGTTTCTAGGCAATGCTTCCTGACTATCCCACACCTGTAATAAATCATATACAGTTCTGGAGTTTGGAATATATGAATTGCAATTACAGTAACCCTTCCCTAGCACTTACCCTACATATCTCTGAAATAGCAACAGAAAACTACATTTCCTGCTAATTGGACAGTGTGTGTTCCAGAATTGTCAGATTTATTTCTCCATGAATGATACACATATGCATACTAGTTGTGTGACTTCAAATTCTTTTTTTCTTTGAGTACTGCTAACATACACCAGTATTGAATATGTTATGCTTTCAAACAACAATGGTACTTTTGGAGGAAAGAAGTGAATAGTGTAATTAATCCTTCTGTTAATCTATATTTTTCACTTTTAAAATACTTCTATTGGAAAATGGTCAGAGTCCTTTTTCTTGAGATTTTTGAAAGCTGTTGCACTGAAATATGCCTACTACTGCTTATGTCACCTGTGTGTAAACTACAGTCTGAGAGACTTGATATTATCTGTTGTCTTTGTCATGCTTAGGTATTAACTACGGGCTGGAGAAACCGTCGTGTAGCATCGACCTCAATGAACAGAGAATCCTCAAGATCACATGCAGTTTTCACCATCACAGTGGAATCCATGGAGAAAAACAACGAGGTTGTTAACATTCGGTCTTCCCTGCTCAACCTGGTGGATTTGGCAGGATCCGAGAGACAGAAAGACACCCATGCAGAAGGGCTGAGGTTAAAGGTTAGTTCTGTAACATCTTTGCTATCTTTCTCTTTTCCAAGGTACTGCCCTGTTCCATTCTCCAAATCCATTCACCTTTGTTCTCTTCGCTTTTTCGTTTTTAGGAAGCAGGTAACATAAATCGATCACTAAGTTGCCTGGGCCAAGTAATCACAGCACTTGTTGATGTGGGTAATGGAAAACAGAGACACATTTGTTACCGGGATTCCAAGCTCACTTTTCTGCTACGGGTAATATATATCTGGATTTTATGTGCTACTTAGAGTGTAGAAAAAATATTTAGTTGGGTTTTTTTACTGTAAAAAGCTGAACTCAAGTACTTCATAGTTGCTTCAATATTGGGCAAGCAAAACAAAGCTTGAGAAATATCTTTTTAACCTAAACAGACTTCTAGTCAATTTATGGCTGTTAACTGAAGACAAATTTATTTATGCTTATAACCTCCTATTACATATTTGCGGGTTTTAAAGAAAAATAAGCACACATTTTCATCCCTATAATTTGGGAAATACTGTGTATCAAAATGTAATATTTAGAGACGTGTTGAAACATTTGACATGCTTTCCAGAATTAACCTACGTGTGCTTAAGTGTTGATCTGATGTTAAGAGTTGGATAAATTTACAATTTCCTACCTGAGAACCTATAGGCTTTTTTCCAGATGAACAGAAAACAAAGACAGAAGCAGTCAAAGATTTATGGACTCACCAAAATTCTGTGAAAAGTAATGAATATCTGTAATATATTTTTGTATTATAGTACTAGTACATAATACAGTATTTGTATTACAACACAATATTGTGATCGCAGCAAAATTTCTCAATCATTCCATCCCAGTTCTACATAGATCTTAAATTCATGAAACTCTGAAGAATTATGTTCTTCCAATGCAAACCAAAATACATAGAAATTGGAAGAGAATTGCAACTGTTTGAGCTGCTACTTTAAGTGGTTATTTTTTTTAGGTGTCTGTACCACAAAGAAATCCATAAACATGACCTTCTCTGTTAGAGAGAGAGAGAGAAAGAGGGAGAATGATGTTGAGGCTTGTAGACTATTCTGTAGCACTAGACTTTTAGTTTTAGGTATAACTGCTGCCTTCTCCAGAGATTTGAGAGCTACTTGTTTAACAGCACAGAAATATCCAGAGACGTGCATGTAAAATGGATAGGTTCATTTTATATCCTTGATCAAGAATCTGTTGATTTGTGATGTTGTTTGTTTGGCAATTGCCACCAGAAGGAAGATAGATTGGAACAATCTACAGGCTAGGTGATGTTCAAAGTAGTGCTAACAAAGTGAAATATCTACTTTATTCCCTGCATATTTTCTGTTTGTTTGGATTTTTTCCTCTCCTGCTCTTCAGATGTAAAAAGTATCTCAAATTGTTAAATAATACAGTCAAGGTTTTGGAAACAAAAATAAAGTCTTTATTTACAGTCACATCCTTTATATCCACATTTGAAATAAAATCTGAGAAACTTACCTAGCATGGATATTTGTTAAATGAAATTCTTTCTGCGATTTGTTCAAAATGATACACAGTTGCTCTTAGGTTAGAGCTCTTAGCTCTTGGTTTTCTATTGTTACCAAAAACATGCATATAAGACTAACTTCCTTGTTTTTAAATAGGATTCCCTTGGTGGTAATGCAAAAACGTGTATCATTGCAAATGTTCATCCAGGATCCAAGTGTTTTGGTGAAACTCTGTCCACTCTCAATTTTGCTCAGCGAGCAAAGTTGATTAAAAACAAGGTAAGAGAGTTACTCAATGTGTTTATTGGAGCAACAAGCAGTTTCTTGTCATTTAGCCTACATATCTGCAAGCAGGGTAGCTTCATTGAAATACTCCTGTGCTTTCACTAATTTAAATTGATTTAGCTTATTAGAAAGCACTAAGTTTGCTTTCTAATTTTTTTTAATGACCGATTATTTTTGAAAAGGGCTTGTTTGCTCTTGATTATGAAGAGAGGACAACATCTTGGAACTAGGAAATGGCTGACAATAGCATGTATTCATTGCTTGTTCTCAGAGCACTTAACTGGAAAAGTAAAAAGTACTGAAAATTAAAATTGTCATAAAAAATTTTGATTCAATGTTATTTCAGTTATCTAGTTTTATATATATGCTAGTACCCAAAATGTAATTTCTCATGGGTTTTGAAAGTATCTTGGCATTTAGCTGAAACTGTCTCTGATGTATACTGCTTTGTTGGTCAAAAAAATCCAGACGAAATTCTGCAGAAAATATTAAATACTTTAACCTCTAATTCTATCTCAAGTGCTGCTTACTGGTTTCTTACTATGTGGAACACTGCTTTTCCCCTAAGTTCTTCTTTTCCTAAGATAGGAAGACTTCTCAGTAGCTTTGTTGCTTGGTGTTCTCTGAGTTTTATTCTGTAAGATTTTTACTTTTACCTTTTCCTAATTTTCTCATATTTATGAAAGGCTGTGGTAAATGAAGACACACAAGGAAATGTGAGCCAGCTGCAAGCTGAGGTCAAGAAGTTGAAAGAGCAGCTTGCTCAGCTTACTTCAGTGCCATCTGTGCGCAGTATTTCTGTATCACAAGGTAAGAGCTGGGGGTGAGGAAGAGAGATTTTGCTACATCTGTAGCCTGGAGGGTTGAGGCCTTCATTAAGTTTCTGAACAATTTATATTTTTGTAGGAACTGACTTACAGAGGTTGTATTTATCTACCTTACAACGTTTGATTGCAAGGTAGTAAGTGTTGTCTTACTTCTTACTTCTACTGTGTTCCTGAGTGAACTCTGTCCTGACCTTGCCAAGAAATACAAGATACAGCAACAGAAGTTACTACAGAAGTTAGAAAGCTTTGTCTAACATAAAGCATCTGTGGTTGAGGTTCCCTAAGGAAAAAATACTTCTTTGCTTGCATACACATTTAACCAGTAAAAACAAGTCAGTAATGATGTAAGACACTGCATCACTGTTCATAAATATACAAATATTGACAGAGGGAGGGCTCAACGTTTAGACCTGCAGTAGAGTTCTGAGGGAAAGCAAGTGATGGTGCTTAAACACTGAGGAGGAGTTCTGTGCAAAACTTAATGTATCAGAGCTGTGTTTGTTCTATGCATTTAAATTATGTTTGTAATAGTTGATCACACAAATATAAAATCTGCTTGCTAGATACTCTAAAAACATGATGTCATTTTAAAATATATTAAATTACAATGGGGTAGTTATTATGCACCTAGATACTGTGGTGATTAGTATTCCATAAATAAGTAGTCCTGTCTGTGTGAGGATATTCAGAAAAGCTATTTCGAATTAATTTCTAAGTGGATTATTAAACCCTTTAAATCCCTTGTGTGGACACTTTCCTTCCAGAGTAAGCCATTAATTGTCCGTATAATTCATGCTTATTTTCCTGAATTTCCCTCTCATAAACCAGTCAGTCCACTTTTAATATGTACAAACAGTACTAATAATGCTAATAATGGCTTAGTGTTATCAAATTAATTTCAGAGGGATTTTGCATTTTATAGATATACTTAGCCTAATGGACTGATTCTTTCATTTTAATAAAAGTTCATTGCAAGGCCATTCAATGCTTGCACAACTTTGTTAATTATACAGTTATGTATATTAGCTCTGTTCTTTATCAGCACTTGCAAGTGACTAGGAATTACTGTCTACACAGTAGACTCTGGATATGGCATGTGATATTTGCAGAGGAATTACACTGTTCGAAGAATTCATTTAAATGTTCTTTACAGAATTGTCATTTTATATATGCAGCAAAACCTGGTTAACTAGTATTTTAATAAATATGGCATTTGTTTCTTTGACTTCCCCTACAGATGCTGTTGAAAAAGGGGAGAACAACATAAATTACATGAACAATTTTATTGAAGCAATGCTGTTCTGGGAGAAATCAGAAGGCGAAAAGAAGGTAATATTTCGGCACTAATATTTCTAAGTGCATTCAGGGTACTCTCTGGTGAGAGACCAGTGAGCATATTGAAACCGACTCTCTTAATGATTTTTTTTGGGTTTGAATAAAAATACTCTGTCCAAGGCTAACAAGGTTTAGTAACAAGGGAACTTAGTCAAACGACATTTAAGATAAAATCTGTAGTGCTCAGGAGGACTACAAAGATGTTATGAGGTTATGGAGGGAGAAAACTAGTAAGGCCAAAGCCCAAGTTGAACTTAATCTGGCTACTGCCATAAAATGCTTCTATAAACACATTAGCAACAGAAGGAGGGCTAAAGAGAAACTCCATCCATTATTGGACGCAGGGGGAAACATAGTGACAAAGGCTGAGGAAAAGGCTGAGGTACTTAATGCCACTTTTGCCTCAGTCTTTAACAGAACCGGAACAGTTGTTCTCCAGGTACCCAGACACCTGAGCTGGAAGACAGGGATGGGAAGCAGAATGAAACCCCCATAATCCAAGGGGTAATGGTCAGCATTCTACTACATCACTTAGACACACACGAGTCTGGATATTAGGAAAAAATTCTTCACTGAAAGGGTTGTCAAGCATTAGAACAGGCTACCCAGGGAAATGGTTGAGTCACCATCCCTGAAGGTATTTAAAAGACAGGAAGATGTGGCACTTAAGGATGTGGTTTAGCTGTGGACTTGGTTAGAGCTGGGTTCACAGTTGGACTTGATGATCATAAAGGTCTTTTCCAACCAAATGATTCTATGCTTCTATTCTGTCTTTCAAATTCCAACAAGTCATAGGATAGCTTTCATAGTATGTTCAGTTTTAGGGCGTTGTTTATTGGATTTTCTAATAAGAAAAAATTGAATTGAACAACAAACTTCTATTTCACTTAATTTTGATTGTGCTTTTTAGTATTTGGGTCCACAGTGTGTTTTTTGAAGCAAACCTCTCAGTCATCCTCATTTTACTGTGCTTCGGTCATGGTGTAATACTGAAACAGCCAAAATGGATTCTTTTTTTTTTTTTTTTTTAAAGAAAATTAACTGAAACAGGCACTCTACTGGTCTGTATCTGATGTACTTAACGGAATACTTAGTCTACCCAATCATATTGGAATTTCTAAGTACAATTTTTGCAATAGGGTGTGTAACTTGGGTTCTTAGTATGAGCTTTGCTCTCTTATGAATCTGCTGCAAATGATAGTCTGTGTATTCACATAATTACTGCTGAGTTTTGCATTATTTGTCTGCCTGTGCATATGTATGCGATATGTGCACCTTAAAAATTCACCTAGTGTAACTACTGTTTTCCCACTAATCTGTATATGTACTTTCTAAGAATTTATTAGAAAAAGTTGCTCAGCTAGAAGATCTGTGTGCCAAGAAGGAAAAATTTGTTCAGTCCAATAAAATGATAGTTAAATTCCGGGAAGACCATATTGTTCGCTTGGAGAGATTACATAAAGAGGCTGGTGGAATTTTATTGCCAAAAGAGCAAGATGATCTCCTTAGTGACTTGAGGGAGGAAGTGCAGACACTCAGAGAACAGGTAAGTCTTTGGTTTTTCTTTTCTAGAACCATTTTCTTTTGTGAGAATAGCTTGTGTAATGGAGTTCTGTGGTGGGTGGATAGTCTTTTTAGGAAAGAAAAGGATGGGTGGTGGCTTCCTTTATAGAAGAATCTCAAATATATGGAGTTTCCCTACAAAAGGGACAATGGGTGGGTTTAGAACTTGTGAGTTTGCATAAGAGGAGAGGTGATGTAAGGGTGATGTTATGCTTGGGAGCTGGCCACAGGCCACCTTTTCTGGGTTAGGTAGAGGACTAAATATCCTTTCAGCAACTCATAGAAATGACAAATCCTCATTCTTATAGGAGGCTTTAAGCTATATGACATTTGTTGAAAAGGAAAGACAACAGGATGCAAGTAATGCAGCAGGTTTCTGAAGGATAATAACACAGATGCCAGATGGACAAATAAGGGGTGATGTGGTCCTGGAGTTGTTTGAAGAAGGCAAATAGCAAAGTACATACCTAAGGCTTCAGGAGAGAAAGCTTCAGGTTATTCAGGTATCTGGCAGGTGTGGTTTCATTTGTGAGGCAGTTTTGAACAACAGAAAAGCTCAAGAGAGAAGGCAAGTTCTTGAAAAACAATTTCCTCCAAGCACAAGTCGGAAAAAGGAATAAATGTCTTGAAAAAATAGCATGAATCCGTAGCTCATAACTGAGCTTTGTAGTAAAGGGATGGGATGGGGAGATGCAGAAGTCAGGACGGTCCTTTAATGTTATAGAAACATTACTATGGCATGCAAGGCCAGTGTTAAGAAAGCCAAACCTCAAAGTTGAAACTGAAAAGAGATGTCAAGAGCAGCAAGGAAAGCCTCTACTGCTTTATTACTAGTGGAAGAGTAAACACATAAGATGTAACCTCACTGTCTTGTTTTGAGAGTAGATTCCAAGGCAGTAAGAAAACAAAAAAAAAAGAGGGCAGTTTTAACTACTGTCAGGAATACCATTTTTCCTCTTCCATTACAATTTAATGCTTATTAAAGGTACTAGAGTAACAGCTAGGTAGGTATAGCATTGTCTGAAAAAACTGTTGAATAAAATATTGCTTATATTCACAGATGGAACAACACCCACGAATTGCAAAGTATGCAATGGAGAACCATAACCTCAGAGAGGAGAATAAAAAACTTCGTTCTTTACAGTCAGTTAAAAAGGCTGAGGAAATTGATGCTCAGACCATTGCAGAGCTAGAAAAAGCCTTTTTGGAAGCTTCAGCCAAAGAGAAAAATACTGGAGGTAATTTTTTTCAGCTAAGTAAGTTTACTACCATATTTCTATTGTGCGCTGCATAGTGTTGAAAATTACTGTCGATGTACTTTTGCCTTCTTCAAAGTGATATGTGAAGACTGATAAAACAAGTTTACTTCATTTTATTCATAGTGGCCTTCAAGCAATAGGAATTTGGATTTGCACCTTGTGAACACCGTTTATAATTTCATTTTGTGTTCCTTAGTTGTCATGAAGACTGCAGTAATATTAATTAGTCTATTGGTTTTCATGTGGACTGCTGCTAATACCTGTTTTCGTCAATTTAATTGCTGCTATGCTGTTCAAAAGCCCTAATGCTTTCATTTTAGTAAAACTTAAAATATTTGAGCTACTCTGTGATTTCAGAGGGTATATGTTTGTTCTTTAGGCCACCGTTTATATTCCACCACCATATCAGCAGAAGGCAACTCTCTGGCATCTGTTGAAAGGCTGAAAGCACGCCTGCTACAGACTCAAACTGAACTGGCAAGTTCAAAGCAAGAATATGAAGAATTTAAAGAGCTAACCAAGTGAGACAAAACAGTATAGAATTGTCTGTAATTAAATGTCTTTAAGTAATTATTTATATTGCTTTTTAAAAGTTAATCTCGAATCCTGAACATACAGTCTAAATTTGTTCTGTGCAAAGAGAGGGCCAGGTTAAGAGCAATGCCATGCGCACAGAATGTGTTCCTGGTGAACATAGTTCCTCCCAGACTAGGGAACAACCATGATTCAATCTGAAGGCATGGCTGCACTGTTGCAGATTTCTTTGTCTTTTCCAAAGCCACTCTTTATACTAAGATGCAAAAAAAAAAAGTGCTTCACAACACGCAGGAGATTGGACATACCCTGAAATTCTGATAGTCACCACCTGCTTAACAACACAGGGAGAGTTTGGCTTAGTTTCTACATTGAGCAAGTATTTTTTAATAATTGAATTATTACAGATGAAAGCAGTGACAAGAACTAAGAGTTGATGGGGTTGAGTTTTTAATATAACCACTTTAAGAATGCAAGTTTGAGTCACCATAAATGTAGAATCCAAGTACCCCAGAAAATTTTGGCTAACCTATCGGTTAATGGTTTTGTCTCTACTTCAAAGATTTTTTTTAAGAAGGCAATAATACCACTGTCTTGAAAATTGTTATTGGAACAGAGATTTAATTCAAATTAGCCCAAAGACATGGTGTCAGTAGTACATTTATGTCCGTTTGCTTTGATAGCTAACCATGAGATAAAGGTCTACTTTGTCCTTACTAAGGTAGTAAAAAATTTCCTGTCATTGTTCTTCTTGAGGGCAGCACAAGATAATGTGAAAGGCCTGACTAATACCTTCAGTGTACATATATTCATATGCAAGTGAATAAAACATGACTTTGACTTGATTAACCCCATTTCTGAAAAATTCGGGTCTTATTACTGGAGATACAAGAAAAACCATTGCATTTCCAGCAAATGTAATGCAAACTTGGAAAGCAAAAGGGACCTGATATTTTTTATATGTATTAATTTTTAGCTTGAACCTAACATTGTTGCTTTTTATTGATTTTAGTGAATCTAGAGTGTAATTTGAAAAGCATCAGGCACAAGATAGTTCCATTTTTGCCTCCCCACTTTTTTTTTGCAAAGTAGCTTTTAATGTTCTTTTTGCTTACTCAGACAATTGTACAAATCTGTATTTTTATTCTTAGATTTCTGTGTAGCAAATCCTATGAAATTCATAAATAATAACGTTACAACCTACTGAGGTTATCAATTCAACAGTCCCATCAATTGTCCCATATGATTAATTACAATGGTCTGTTTATATCTTCATATATTAATTACTTTATTTTCCTGACCATTAAATATATTCCTATTTTTAAGTTTTTCACGTTTTGTGCATGTCTTGCTTTCTTGATAGTATGTATGCATTTTATTATCAGTTACTGACATTTTCATAGTGGAGTTCAGTCAAACAGCAGTGTGCTTTTAAGCCTATGGAGTCACTAAATTACACTAAATTTTGAACTTGTTTCCAGTTTCAGAGTAACTGGATGCTTAATTTTACATGCAGGTGTAACTATATGCTGTAACTATAAGCTGAGTACAATAACAATTCACAAAAATCAATGTATGCTTATTTCTCTGCTGTCTAATAGCAGTCAGAACTAAACTTACGGAACTCTGTTCCATAAGTTTTGTTGCAGATGCCAAAAACATGAGGGAAAGTGATAGAACTGCCAAAAGATGAAATAGCATTTGTCTGTAGACCTTGACCCTACCATTATGTCACTAATGCACAACTATCATAGTAACAGCATGTAACTCTGCAAAATACCTAATGAAAAGTATTCCTAAATTTCTGCTCAACTGTTGGATTTCAGTTAAAGTACTCTTGGAGGGCAAAATAATCTTAACAGAGCAGCATTTCCCAAAAAAAAAGAAAGTCTTTAAAGGATTTTCTTTAATCCTGGCAAGCTCCAGTTCAGACTTCTCATATAACTGGATAACATTTTTAAAGCTGAAAACCATATTGGTATGGGTGATATCACTTTCTCATAAAAGGAACTGCAGAGCTCTCAGCTTATTTCTTACCGTGTAATGGATTTTTTTCTGACATGTTTAGTTATCCATCTGCTTGCTTCATTATGCAAGCACAAATAAGCTTCTTAGCTTTTTAATTTTCTATACATTATTTTTACTTTTTAATACAGAAGTGATGACTTTCTTCTCAAAATAGCGCATTTCAATGTTTGGGCAAGAGTTCAACTGCAGTTTGCTTATTGGCAATGCTGCAGCATATTCTTGCTGATGGAAGAGCATACTGCTGGAATAGTTTTGACAGTAGTAAAATACTTCCTAAACAGGAAGAAGCATATGGAACTGGAATCAGAGCTTCAATCCCTTCGCAAAGCAAACCAACATCTTGAAAACATTCTGGAGGCAACCAAAGCACACAAGCGCCGAGAAGTGTCTCAGTTGCAAAAGCTACACAGAGAAAGCCTTAAGGTATGAGAATAAGTTTATTTAAAGCCGTACATACTTACTCCTAAGTTTTATGAGAATACAGACAGTCTTTTGTATGATCCCTTAACCTAACTAGTGTTCTGGAGAGTTCTCCATATGCAATAAACCAAATAGGCTACTTGTTGTTCTGAAGTGTTAGCTGAATGACTTGCTGCTGCAATCAGATGACAAATCTGAAAAAGTGGTAGTGGTTTAGAACTAAGCACTTCAAACATTTTATTTCATTATTCTGCTTATAGAATTATGAAGTACAACACCAGACAAAGGCTTGATTTCATTATATAGTTAACATAAAGACTTCTTTGTAATCTTTGTAACAGAACATAACCACTCCAACTAAAGCTTACCAGCTAAGGTCTCGTCTAGTGCCACGAATAAGCCCAGATTATAATTCTGAAGATTTTCAGTATTCTGAAGAGATGGTGGATGACATTCTGAAAGAGCCGGTTCCTCCAGAGATGAGTGAACAAGCATATGAAGCCATTGCTGAGGAGCTCAAAGTGGCACAGGTGATTGTTCTGGATAAAAACCAAAGTGTCTGTATGTGTAACTTTATAAGAGGGTGGGCTTTGGCATGAAATACTTCCCCCTGACCAAATATATTTTAATTTGCATGGGAAACTGAAGCACTTCATGAATACTTAACACGAAACAGTTCTCTAATTATACATTGTAAGTGAAAGAGGATTTACAACAAAATACTGAAAGGGATTTGAGAGTTGAATATCATAAGTAGTTTAAGATATACACGGCATTTGTACTTTTACTTTTTTAACCTGATAACTTGTCCCTGAGGAGTCCTCTTTATAAGTCCCTGTGACAGCTACATTTGGAACAATATACAAGCTTAATATATAATACAGCATTATTTTAAGAAACCTACCACATAATGCTTGTCCACCATTAATATTAATTGCCTTGTAGCGGGCAGTCTTGTCACGTAGAAGAGGTCTACAAAGTTATCTGAACTACTCTCTAGAAGCTGGAAATAAGTTCAGTGCATGTGAACCCCTGGCACAATAGCCAAACCCCCTCTTTGATTCTTACTATAGTGCAGAGAACCTCTAAGAAATTTAGCTACTGTATATTTTGAATAATTTTTTTTAAAGCCTTATTTCTCCAAGATAAACACGTGTCTGAAAAGTAAGTGTTTATAGGATTCAGTCCTTGTATTCCCTGATGGATTTTCCTGTGTTTTGGCAGTTCAGTTAGAAATAGGAGAAATCAGCTACTTCAGATACCAGTTTATTTTTTGAGTGTTCTGTTTTCTCTTGGTTCAGGTCATAAATATAGAAACTTGTTGACATTTTTATATTTAATATGCACAGACTGCCATATGGCATGTGAGAATAAGTGGAAGATGGGTGCTCTAAATTTAAGTGTCTGTTGTGTCACAGGAGCAACTGAGCACAATGCAGACAAAGCTGGATGAAGAGGAAAGCAAGAATATAAAACTCCAGCAGCATATTAATAAACTCGAGCATCATTCTACACAAATACAGGAGGTGAGAGAACAATTCAGGGCTCATTTAACAATATAATACAGTCATGCTGCTGTGTTGTCTAGTGAGGTCTTGCAATGTTACTTGCATTTTGACTTTTGAAAAATTTACATAGGATCATGGCTTGAGGCTGTGCAGGAAGGCAAGGACTTAAAATCACGGAATAGTTTGGGTTGATTCAAAGGCCACCTAATCCAACCCCCCTGGAGTTGGAGTGAGCAGAGAACATTCATTTACCATAACACTGCAAGTCTGAGTTCGGTTTTAAATCTTGTGATTCTGGACCTGCTTGATCTTAAATATAAGCAAATAGATCCTATTGTGGTTGGGTTTGGCCAACTCGATGATTTCTGGGAAACAACATTAGTAACAAGGAAATTTTAAACTTTGGAAGCTGAAAATGCTATTTGTCTCAATTGGAACTATCTAACAAATATTTATAAGTCCTGCTTAATTGCTGGGGTTGATGATAGAAAAGGAAATTAGGTCTCTATTCTTTCCTGCTCAGTCTCACTTCTGATAGCTCTGTTCTGAGAAGATCTCACCTCCTAAGATGTGGGTTGCTTTTAAATGAAATTTTTAGATAAGGTAATATCTTCAGTTATATAAATTATTTTTTTCCTTGGACTTGTATTGGTTTTCAGAGTCACTAATTTTAAAGAAAAATGTGCTCTGCATTCATAGTCAGGTGATGAAATGCTTTAATACAATATTATGTTATTGTTACAGCTGTGACTTAGCCACTCCTACACTTCCTTCTATTTAAAAATTTTACTTCTCTTCTCAAGCTTCTTTCATCCGAAAGGAATGACTGGAGTAAAGAGCGCCAGGAGTTCCTCGAACAGATAAAATCACTTGAAAAGCAATTTCAAGACAGTCAAAGCAAGGCTGATAGTAAGTCTATGAAATACTGAAATTTCATAAAAACTTTTAAGGTGTCTTACTGTTTTGAATCAACAATAGCACATGCTGAGTAACTATTTGGGTTGTTAGGCATACTGGTTTGATTTTTTTTTTTTTTTTTTTTTTTTTTTTTTTTTAAAGAAAGCAATCTTTGATACTTGCAGAATATCTTCGTTTAATCTTGCACAGTACCCAATATTCAAAATGGCTCTCTGTAGTCTGAATGTGAAGGAGGTACAGGATATAGCATTTAAAAAGAAAATATTAAATAAAATAAAGGAAAAATCCTCTATTGGTCTATGGAAATGCAGTGGTATTGTCTGGAATGTTTTTCATAAACATTTACTTCTTAAACTCGATGTTTCATTGACCTTTTACATTCACAAAGCCTTTTTGTGTGTGACTTCCAAGGTTAGTTCCACTGAAAAAGCGCAGTTTTGTAAGACTTTCCCAGCAGGTTCTGTAACATTACTTGTCATATATCTAGCACAGTTTTCCAAATAACATGAAAATTATTTGGGATTTTTTTGACAGTATTAAAAAGTGAAGTCCATGACTTGCGCATTGTCCTGCAGTCTGCAGACAAGGAGCTGTCTGCTCTAAAATTGGAATATAATGCCTTTAGGGAAAAACAAGAGAAAGAAATGAGTCAGCTTTCTGGTAGACATATGGATGTACAGTTCCAGCTGGACAGTGTGAGGTATGTTGGCAGTTTGGTAAAATGCCTTAACATCCTTTCTGGATGCATACAGTGATTTAGTCCTTCTCTCCTGCATCTGAACTTGCACTTTACATGCTTCTTTAAAGTTGTTTTGTGTTTGTTTATGTCTTATGTCCTTTGCTTATTTTTTTTTTTGCTCAGTTCTTCTATACCTATTTCAGAGTCATGATGGGGAGGAACCATGCTGAAATTAGCGGAAAGAAATGAAATGAGGCTGCCTTAATTTTGCCTTACTTTAGCATTTTCCCATTAAGTAGGATATACCTATAAGCTCATTGCTCTCCAAAAGTTAAGTGGCTGAAGAGACAGAATTTGTCAGTCTGATCACATGAATTAGGTGACATAATGATGCTGCTCTAAAAATACAAGCAGAAAGAAATTCATAAAAAACACCTGAAGTTTGATTATTGAAACCAGAAAAGCTCATTACCTTCTCTGCAATAATGGCCATTATTATTGGGAGATGAGGTTTTGAATCATTAGCATGACTTGGTTTTGTTGGCTTCTGTTGTTGAGTTTTGTTTATTTTGTTGTGTTTTGGCTTTATGTTGGTTTTGGGTTTTTTTCCTGGAAAGCTTAGCTATGTTTTGCATTACAGTAGGTCACGTCTTAGCTGAAGTAATTTTTTGAGTATGCATTGTGAGACCAGGAACTGGGAATTGAAACTAAATGCCATGGTTTCATTGATGCCTTCAGTGTTAGCAGAAATACTGACTATGTAGAGGGTATTCTTTCTATAGGCCCTCCTTTAGTAACATGATTCATAACACTTGTCTAGCAGTTCTTTTACCCCTCTTTGCTTTTCACTTTTGTGAAAAACCAAATGAAGTAAATTTTCAGTGCAACAATTTAGAGAAAAATAACCCAAACTTGTCCCGAATATATAAAGATTTTAAATGGGATAGATGACCTGAATATCAGCTAAGCAGATGTTGATACTGAGGATCCTTCTATCAAAGCCTTTTGTCCAGCAACTGCCTAAAAAAAAAAGATATTTTTTTTAATGGTGAACTCCATTATCAAGACACAGGGACTGAAATTTCAGTAGGATTTTGTAAGAAGTAATTTATTTCTCAGGATCAGAAAAAGTCCACTGCCTTCTCTGCCAGTGCCACTTCAATCTCCCATGGCCTTCAGAAATTTGGTGTTTCTGAGTTTAAAAGAGAGTTACCATTTACGTCAGTCACTCCTTTCTAAAATAACTGTACTCTGTATATTATTTGAAGATTTTAAAGTACAAGTGATTGGAGTATTTTTATAATGACACAAACCTTATCAGAGTTTTTATTTGTTTTTTTTTAATAAAGGCTAGAACATGAAAAGATTCTTGAAGAAAAAGCAAGTCTGCAGGATGACTATGACAATTTGCAGGAAGTAACTAAGTTTGAGACGGATCAACTGAAGCAACAACTTGAGGACAGAAAACAAGAAGCAGAAGCAATGAAAACTGAGCTTTGTGTAAGACAGTTGAGGGTTTCAAAGGAGTTTATTATACCATATCCACATTGTTTAACTCCTGTTTAATTCAACTGTATCATTAATAATAGATTCCACAGTAATAATAGGTTTCTTGGTGCTTTCATTTGGAAGGTGTACCCAAAACCTTTTTCCAAACTTGGTGCAAGATTTTTGCAACCACAGGCTACAAGAAATATCCAATAGCATCGTGAAGTAGTAAGGTTTTGGACTGAAGAAATTGCCCTGGAAATGTTGAGGGAGATGGGTTAATTAGTAAAGGAATAAGAAACTTCTTTGGAAAAGAATCCTGACATTGAAATGCTGAGATGACCTTTCATCTCAGTGCTAGCCAGGACTAGCCTACTTATTCTATCTTTACAAAGCAGTTTCTTAAAAATTTTCATAGTGGATGTGATCTTGTTAAAATGATCTATGGCTTGTGGTGGATCACTGTCCTGCAATTTAGTTGATGCTGTCCTTGAAAGCCTGTCAGACTGCAGTGACTGCAAAACAGCAATAAGGTTGCTCAAGGGCTTTTGCAAATGATTTTGCCTGCTTCTCACAGTGTACATACACTGTGCCTGCTCAGGAAGCTTGATGTAAGTTTTCCTTTTTTAGTGTTTAAAGGAATGCTGACAGACTGAAAATTATTGATATAAATTCCTTATCATTTAATATTCTGAACAAACTTGGAATTTGAAAAATGCACCTAAATTAATCTACAATTGAAAATTCTAATTTCTGCCTTCACAACCTTGGATATTGAGGAACATCATAGCTATATGAAATTATTATCAATGACAGGTGAAAAGAACTAATTACCTAATATGAATAAGAGTTTACTTTTGAACTTGACTAGAACAAAGCTAAGGATCTTTCTGTTTCAAATTAAGGTATGGCAGGGAGGCAGGTTTCAATCATCTTAAGAATTTGTTTAGATTTTTATTTTGTTTTAGATTATTCTAAAGACCTTCTATTGTAACTTCTTTTAGCAATATATATTTGCTATTCTAGAACCTTTTTCACCTTCTGAAAGCAGAAAAAGAACATAATGAAAAACTAACATTGCAATTACAAGAAGACAAAGAAAACAATTCAAAGTAAGTTTTAATTAGTGGTGGGGTTTATTTTCATTTGACCGCATTGTTTTTGTCCCATGCTATGTTTTGTATTCAGATGAGGATCCTGTTTGTAGAGGTGTTTTTCCCCAGGTGGTTGACAATAATTACATAACAGGCTTTTTTATTTTATCCAAATTAGAACGGCACTTCATTTTAATGTGTTCAATTAACATGACAAAAGTAATTTCATTGCAAGTATAGATCTTCACGTCAAAAATGAAAGTCCACCTCTGACAGCAGTGTAACTAAACTATTGGTCTTTCGTATAGCACTGAGAAGGTGATTACTGAAGAACTCTTAAATAAATTAAGTGCAAATAAGAACCATATAAGAATAAATCACGTGACTTGATTTTGTTAAAGTTCTCTTATGTTTTGATTATATTTCTCACTAGAAATGTTTTCTTCACCAGGGAGCTCTTGAAAATACTTGAAAAAGCACAGGTGGAGAAACCATTCTCTGAAATGGTGACACAGTGTGAGCAGCAGGTACAGCAACAGATTTGAATATTTAAACTGCGTGTTCATGGATTTGCTTGTGCATTAATAGCAGTTTTATTTCTGTGCTGACTGTTCCATTGATTACCAGCAAAATAAATGTAGACTGCTCAGGTTACATATCATTTTGTTAAGCTACTGCTTTATTATTCTGGTAAGGTTAACAACTTACTTCCTTTTTTTTTTTCATTACTTGAGGCTTTACAAAACACACTTCAAAGGTAATAAAGATTCTCCTTCACAATATTATTTTCTCTAGGAAGCAAAACTGAGGACATTGGAACAGGAACTGGCTGCTGCTGGAGAGACTATTGCTTCTTTGAAGAAGACAAATGATACAGACAAGGTTTAGGCTTATTTCTGTTACTAGTACACAGTTTTATGGGTAACGGTTCTGTAGCAGAGTTGAAAGCCCAGAGCCTTTCTGTGATACTTAGTAATTTTGTGCTCTCAGGCAATTCTGGCTGTATATGTAGGTAAAATAAATCTTGCCTTTCCCTAGCATGGAGTTTGCAGGGAGGTAGAAAACTGGTATGCACTCAGAAAAAACACAAGTTAACTGAAGATTAAACAAAAAAAATCAAGGTAAACCTGTCTACTGGACAAAACATTCAATGCTTAAACAGTGCATAATTCCCCTCATGATTAATAGGGTCTTCCAGTCATGTTGTAATGGACAAATAGAAAAGGGAAGGAAGGTGACTTAAGGTTGTGACTGTGTGTGTCTTTATTAATAAAATCAAAGCACTTTTTCATGTAAAGGCTGTTGCAGTGTATGAAAGCTTAAATAGCAAGAGTTCCCCTAGTGCAAGTATATATCCTGTACGTAAAACAGGCATAAGGAACCACATAGTGCATTTACTACCCAGCATGATGCGATGATAAGCCTTGTTTTTTTCATGCTAAAACCAAAAATTTGACATGCATAAGGTCAAAATAACCTGGTATTGTCAGTGCAGTGGTGTTTCTTGAATGTACCTTTTTCCATTACAAGCAAATGTACCCTTAAACTACGGTACTTCTGTTCTCCTATTAGAAACCCATTACAAGCCAATACTAAATCAATGAGCCAGTGTTCTCTTCTGATGAACACAGCAGGTTATTTAATTCTTTATTTAAGTGCTTAGAGCAAAAGCCAGTGATATAGCAACACATTTTCTGTTATTCCTTTACATGTGCAATTTGAGGCCTCATTTTCATATGATTGTTTGAAACTTGGGATTGACAAATTATATACCAAAAAAAGTCCAGTAACATATTATATAGATTTTATATATATTTTATAGGATTGACTTTTTTTTATGTTTCAGGAAGTTGTAACTGACTTGATGAAACAGATCCAGGAGCTGAGGTCTTCAATTAATCATAAAACTGAGTCCATACATGGGTTGACAAGAGAGCTCGAGGATATAAATGTATGTTCTGTCATTTTGAAGGACATGGTATCGTACTTTAGAAATGACATGTCTTATCATGGGTCTCAAACAGTATAACTTGCTGTAGCATTTTAGATGGAAACTTCTTTGTTTTGACATGTTGAAATCTTCTGAACATTTTATGCCTAAGGCAGTCTTGAAAACAGAACCCTCTCCATGTGGTGGGTAAAAAGCCGTATCTCTGAAGGGACCTATTCACATCTTGTAAACTACACTCAGCTGACAGTCACATTTAGATTTTCTCAGAAATTGGCAATTTAAAACCTCAACAATTGAAGCTGAATTGTAAATTTATTTTTTGAGGGAGTGAATTTTTATGTTGCTGTTATTACTATGTTCTACATCTGAAAACAAGTAGAAAGAACTAAAACTGTAGTTGAATAACTATGAATAAATATGATGCATCTGATTTATTAAAATAGGTCTGGTTTGCAAACTGATGGAACAACCCACAGAATGCTTCAGATAATATATTTTGTGTGAACTACGAATTCAAAAGGTTCTAGAGACAGAACGTTGATGAGACAAATTTATATATATAGTTATCTTTTAATAATGATTTTAGTGGGTAATATGTATTGTGGTGGCTAATTAACATTAAATTAATAATCTTTTCCTATCATTCTGACAACTAATTTCTAAAAACGTAGTTTGTATAATTTAAGTGTGATATTTCATTCTGGTTTTAGTCATTGACACAGATTTCTAAATGCTTCTAATTGTCATAAGATTTTTGATGTACATTTATTTGTATTATGTTTGCCAGCTTTCCTTGATAACATGTTTTTCTAAAATATTCTAAAATTTATTTTAATGGGTTTTTGTAGTGCAAGTATAATATTGTTCTGGCTGCAAAAGAAGAAAGCAAAGGAATCATAGAGGATCAGGAAAAGAAGATTGAAGAACTGAAGGAAGCCTTGGAGGGAAGAGAAATAGCTGATAACATTGAGGTAAAAACATTAATGTTGATGTATGATGATTGTTTGTTTAACCAGACCAGTTGGATGTGCGTTTGCTTAAAATATTCATGTAAAACTTAACCTCATTTTGGTTCCAACTATAGCTAGTTAAGCTGTTCTTAAAAGAATTTTTCATGAGATATCTGACAAATTCTGTTAAATTATCATGTTATTTGACATAAATATTTTATAAGCTACTTCATAAAAGCCTATGCTAAAAGCCTGGTTTAATTTTGTTAAGGCCACTAAGGAATCACGAGCTGAATTTAATGGCAGCTTTAGATGATGCAGCTGAGAAATTAAAATAGGTGGAAGAATATATTATGTTTAACACTATCTCCTCCCCCACTGCTACTATATTCAGTAACATCTTTTCTTTAGTCATAATTTTAACTAAAAGCTCCACCTGCTGGAAACAGATTTAGGATGCATTGTTGATTCAACTGTGGGATTGCCTTTTAAAATTGTATCTTTCTTTAACTCTTTTCTGTTACTGCTCTCACCCTTATTTTGATGAACGTGTCTATCAGTCAAAACCACTAGCACCTCCTTACATGTAATTTCTACAAGATCATCTGTCATTAGATTTGCTAGTCAATCATATGGCACCAATAAAGTCTTCCAGAGAAGTGTTTGTTTCTCAAAACCCTTTGAGCATAGTGTAAATCTATTTAAGAAAAAACAGACTATATTCATTATTAATAATATCTAAATGTCACATTCTGAAACCCAGAACTGAGTTGTCTGCCAAAGGGACCACTTTGGGTTTTTGTTTACGTGGGTTTTTTTAACTGAAGTACTAGTTCTTAATCCAGTATTATCCTTAGGTGTATATGGCTCCTGATAAAATCATAGTGTTTCTCCTTGACTTTGTACTTTAGCTACTAATTTCTTCATGCTTTCTTGACTGGACAAGAAGAACTAATCCAAGGTAGCATTTAAAATACCAAGTTCAGTTTCTCCTTCTAGGTTAACACACCTTGTGTAGGCATAATGCCCCATCAGATCGGGTGGGAGAATAAATCCAGAGGTATCTACAGAATATGAGTGCACTAAAAAAGCTGTAATCGCTCCAGCATGGATTAAAATCTTTGTTATTTTCTGGTTTTTTATTCAGAGAACTGTATCTCTTTTTAAGTACATATTATTCTTTAAAACTGTGGTTGATTCCAAAGATCTTCCACAAGAACTGTGACTATACTGTGGGAAAGTTCTCATTTTTGTTCTGCAGCCAAGAGCATGGATATGAAAACATGCTAAAATAAGAAATTTATAGATGAATGCTTGCTACAATTCATGATGAAAAAGTAGAAGGAAAAGAGAGATGCTTGTAGCTGCTAGCAATCTTGACACCAATCACAAAACACCTTGAAACAACTGACTTAGAGTAATAACTTAAACTTCTTTCTTTACTCATCCAATGACTTAAAATAGAGAGACCTTCTGTGTGAAGAATTGCGTTATACAACTGATCAGCTGATAAGTCTGACAGAGGCCTCCAAGAAACATGATTCGTTGCTCCAGTGTGCACAGGAAGACATAGCAAAGAAAGAAGCAGTAATCCAGGAACTTAGGGAACAGGTAAAACAAAGAAATTTTGATAATTAGCCCATTGAGAGGAGTTGTAGTTAATTCTAGCTTTTGAAAAGTTCTTACATGTAATTTTACGGCATCTTGTATGCAGTACTCTTGGTGAAGAGCAATGCTCCTTGTAAAAGCAAAATAGTAGTCTAAAAACTTCTGAACAAAGGCTAGGTAAACTTTTAAATCTTTTGGAAATGATGTCTAGAGATAGCAGAGTAAAATTATCAGTACCTGTAACAACTGAGCAACCTGAGGTTATCAGCAGTATCATCTACCTTTTCCTCCGCTCATCCACAAACAATATCATAATCTAACAGACATAAGTGTTGAGTTCTATAAATTTTGTAGTCTGAGAATGATTTGGAGCTTTTGCAGACTAAATAGCTATGTTAAGCCTCTGTCCAAATTTTAGCTCTAGTTGTCATAATTGTCATAGTGCTATGTAATATATTTGTGCTGGCAAAAACTCTAATAAGTTATTATCTAAAAGAGGAGTTCTTTTGTCAAGTTAGCATATTCTCTTTGGGGAAACTGATCAAATCTATACCTCAAAAATCTTTGTATCAGATCATGTTTTGACCAGTAATATTTGCCAACAAAGTTCATAATAGTTTCTTCTGTACCAGTAAGCCCTTTGAAACATTGACCGTGTTAGTAAGGCAAGAAAATAAAATAGCAACACAAACAAAATTCAGATTAACTACACAGTATACAGTATATAATGTATAGATCTTTCAAAAATGCTTGTTACATACAACTACTGAAAGTTTAACAGTTATTAGCTAAATATACAAGAGTTATAAAAATGAAGTTTAAGTTAATGTAAAATAACTTGTGGTGTACTTAAGCCTACTCAAAATGGAGATCTAGCTTCTGTTTTCTTTCCTATTTTGTGTTTATTTTAAGCTAATTTAATTCTTACTGGTGTTTCTAATAGTTGGACAAAATGACAGAGGAACTGGAGAACAGGAAGAATGAGTATGAACTAAAAATGAAGCAAATAGATTGCTTTGTGGACTCATCTTTAGTAACATTTCCTCAGGTATGGCATTTGTGAGAGAAACATGTTCGTTATAATGCCTGTTAAAACACATAAAAAACAACTACAAACTTTACAGCATGGCTTCAGGCTGGAACCAAAAATTACAGTGTATCAAGAATGGTCAATTCCCAGTCACATAGTCTGTAACTTAGTTGTATTATTGATGATTTCTCTGCCAGGATTTTTTTTAATATATGTCTCCAATTAAGTATTAAAACATGTAACCAATACATAGGGCAAACAGTTCTTTACTAATAGTTTGTCTGGTTTGTTTCTTTTAACTTGACAGTGTCCAAAAACTCCACCTAATTTTGATGTGAATTTGGCAAAGCTCTTGGAAACCCATGAGCAAGAAATAGCTGATCGTAGGGCTTCTGCAATAAATCTGGAGCACCTTGTGCATGAACTGAATGAAGAAAGAAGAGCTAAAAATGATGAAATTCTAAGGCTGAAGGTACTATGAGTTAATCTCTACAGGCAATTTGTAAGGTTAAAATAAGACAAAATACAGAGTTTAGATTTTGAATGAGCTCTGCTTGGTAGTGTGTCCATTAAAGCAGGAAAGCCAGTTTTGGTCCTCCCTTTACCTAGGCCCAAAATGTGACAACTGGCTTGAGATGTCAATATATCTCATTTTCCCAAGAACTGAGTTGTTTTGAGTTCATGAATGTCAAATGCTCACATCGGTTTTACTGCTGAAACTGTTCTGATTTATTTTAAATCAAGTTTTTAATGCAACTATAAATGGAACGGTAGTGCAGACATTTGCCAGAGAACTGTGCTTGTTTTCTGATAAATAGTTTTGTCTTCTATTTTACTCAGAAACATGTTCAACTGGAAATGAAAACAGGAATCGTGATTTGGTCTTCAAATAAAATGTTTCAAACTTCTTTCTTTTTCCGTGCTTAGGAGCAATTAAATGAGTTGGAGAACTTGCGTCTGGAAATGCAGATATTGGTGGAAAACAACAGGAATTTACAGAGCCTTGTAGAAGCTCAGAGACCAGGCAAGAACAGGTAAAGTTAAATAAAACACAAAAAATCTATCTTAACTTGAAATAATTAAACAAGATAAAATGTACACTGTTTATTTGAAATACAGTCTTACATATTGTTTGTATTTGTGGAGATTGACTCAGACTTGTCTATGAAAACTGTTTACTGGCTTGTAAACTTTATTGCCCTTAAATCACAAATTCTCAAATGCAACAAAGTTTTATAAAGGAAATGGAAATAGAATGTAAAATAATTATATGCATAGCCATTCCTGCATATTATATATTGCCATATCACTTGTGTAGTTATGGATTCAGTAGATAGCAAATGTCCAAATTAATTCAACACAAGTTTTAACATAGACATAAATGAACTTTTAAACCTCCAATATAGTATTCACCTTTGGTCTATTCAAACCATAACTCCTATCAACTAACAGGAGCAGGGAATTGTTACTGCATATGAAATTATATCCCAAGGTCCCAAGTCAGGAATCCAACAAGTGGGGAATATAAAAGTAATGCTTTTCTGTGGAAAAATTTGATCCAGGACACCTACTCCATAAACTGTGTGAAAAACAAAGTCACAGAATCCAGTGTTCCATGGCAACATAACCATTCTTGTTTTTCTGTGATTCCCGTTTCAGTTCACAACACGCTTTCAAATGTCTGTTGCAAACTAAGCAGAAGGCCTTAGAAACAGCATCATCATTCAGTACCCCACCTGATCTGTTCACAAAGATTTTCAGTTACTGAAAATAGTGTGTTTATTATAATTTGATGCAATTATAAAACTCCTAACCAATTAAGTTCTTTCTTTATGGCACACTACAAGGATAAAGTGGTTCCACTGGCATGTTGCTTTGTGGGTTATTTTAATTGTATGGTGTTTGCTTACTTCCATCCAATGTCATGTTAATCAAAAACTAACAAAATAAAAAGCATTGAAGTCTTCTAAATACAAGAATCTTTCACTTTCTTAACTGCTCAGTGGTCTTGCCAAATTATCTTATACGAAGGAGTTGCTTTCTTGCAGTCAACATACACCTGAACATCACCAACTAATAAAACATTTACCTTAATCGCAAAGCTGCCTAACAAACTGTTGCATTGTTATTACATTTGTAATTGTTTTAATGAAAACGGTAGTTTCTCCATACTCTTAACAAAAGGAAATGTGGTGTTCATGGAATGCAGAAGAATATAGAAACCCTTCCAGAGTTGTTTCATGATGTGTTCAGTGTTTTGAGTATGAACACGTGTGAAAACCACTACACATATTTACTGGTTTAATCTGGATAAGAAGCTTTTACAACTGGTTTCTTCTGTTTATGAGAAACTTTCCTCATTCTTGAATTTCCTAGTGATCAGAAACATCCTGATGTTCAGCACCTCAAAGAGAAAGAGGAGGAGATTGCTGAGGAGAGACTTGCCAAGGTATATTATCATTCTCACGTCAGTTGCTGTTGACCAGCTGTGAAGTATTAACCTGTTTTCTTCTATTTCACAGCAGTGAAACAAACACTGATTTCTAGTGAATTCTAATAGGCACAGCCTGACACAGCTCTTAGGGTTTCTATCTCAGCCTGACACAAGTGAACTGGGTGTCAGATTACACAAGAAGCAAAAACAGATTTGGATTGCTAAATCTGACTCATCTCCACAGAGTTGGAAAGTGAAGATTGTGTCACTTGCTAATGTCAGGTCTGTGTCAAAGGGAAGTTAATGTCACGGCGGAGGTTGCCATGGATTTCCTAGACAGAAAAACCCGCTGTTAGAGCTTTGCTGTGTGTGAGTGGGCAGAGAGATAGGCTGTGGGTCATTTGTGCTGGCATGAAATGGGAAATACCTGCATATAGTAAAGAGATGAACTTAGAGTGAATATTAGAGATGTGAGCTACAGAGCAGTAGGATGACTTTGCAGGATCTGGAATGAGATACAGAATCAACTAAGTGATAAATAATTTTAAATATATATCTGTATGTTAAACATTAGGACTGTATCTAATGCTTTTGACCTTTTACAGAATAAAGCAATGGAGGAAATCCTGAAAATCAAAGCAGAGTAAGTCTAAATATTGTTCCTTGAACTGGAAACTTGTATTAAACTAATTAATGATAAAAAAGCTATATTTAAACACTAGAAGTCCCCAAAAAGCTATATGTAAGCACTAGAAGTCCAATACCTGAATTTATAAAAGACATAATTTGGAAATGTTTACACTTCTGCAAGACACATTGAGTTCTTACTCTTTCTCATCAGTAGGTGGTAGTAGCACCTATTGCTACATTTACTGAAACATTATATCAGGACAATAATCTGAAATAGGTAGAACCATAAAAACTTGAATTGGAAGAGCCATTTTTAATTGTTTAACGTTATTTATGTGTTCAAGTTTTATACGTGCAATGAATTCTAAGCACATTGCTTTTCAAATTGAATTGAAATACTGATCATTTCTTTATTAGTATCATAAATGTTTTATAATTTTAAACATAATCTAATTATTTTCTTTTTATGCTATTTGTTTAAATTTTTGCAGTTAATCTTGAATAATGAAAATTTTTTATTATTAGAGGACTCCTAGATTGTGTTTGCGCAATTGTGCAAATAGTCCTCAAAATTCAAATGTTTTGCACCTTGGATGGATAGTAGCAAAGAAAGAAAATACTGAATTAGTAGATAAACATTAGTTTGAAAATGTTGGTCCTGCTATTCTTTTCCTAATCTGTACTCTTCAGGATTCATAGTGGCTGAATCTTTTAATACTTGAGTTATTTACATTTAATGGAATGCTTTCTATGTACATAACTTCTTTTAAGGAGGAAGAGAGTTTTTATGCACATGGTCATTTCAAAAGTAACTTTCATTAAATTTTCCAGAAACCTTAGTCTGGCAATTAGGGATTATTTTGCTATTTGATGCATTGTGTTTTCATACCTGTCTGTCTGGTCTCTAAAATACGCTTTGTAACAGTGCTGCAAGGTCTCATACAAACAAATAATGCACAAAGAAGGAAAATATTCTTTCCTCATTAAGAAAATGTCTTGACAAATGTACCAAATGAATACTGTTTTCATAGAGTAGGTCTTAAACACCAGGCTTCGGTAAAATAAAACTGATGACAAAAATAATTTAATTTATACAATATTTGAATAGACTTGGAAAATTATTGAAGTTCATATAATTAGTAGACAGGCTGCAAAGTTTGATGGCACAGTTCAATATTCTGTGAGCCTTATAGACATCTTGTCTGCTGAAAATGTTTTAATCCTATCCAAACTAGTGGTCCTTCTGTTACCAGGCCAAACAAGCTCAGGCCATCAGAGCTGCTCAGAGATGTTTCTGAACAACAGGACCACTGGGGGAAAAGTCACAGACAGACAAGCAATTTAAGGGAAACCTGAAGAGCGGCTGAGTTTAGCTGAAAAATTTACATTCCTTTGGTGGATTAATTCAAAGTGTTCTTGTAGGTGAAGCTTCTGTTTCTGCTTTCTCCTCAGTTGAGTTATATATCCTGGATTGCAAACAGTTACCAAAGAGCACAGTTACCAAAGAGAAGAGCATCTCCAAAACACTGCCTAGCTGATAGTATCAAAGACAAGAGCTGTGAAGCAGAATGAAATTTTTCCTTCCCTTAACACTAAGTTCTAAGAAAAATATATTGTCTCAGAAGGACACTTTTAAAGGAGCCTCCCTCCATGTCCAAGACTGATTTAGTAATTCACTTACATGCCATTTATATTGGTTTTAAAGTTTTTTATGCTTCTTTTATATTGGCAGATTAGAAGAGACCAAAAATATCCTCAGAGTCCAAGAAAATGCCTGTCATCAAATGACTCTGGAGCTACAACGAACGAGAACTTTGGAGCTCAAAGCATTTAATGAAAAAGAAGAAATTAGATCAAAACTGGAGGAAGCATATGAAGAAAGAGACAGAACTGAAAAGGTTACACATGTATAATCTTTTTTTTGTCTTTACAGTAAAATCTTATTCAGCAGAGGTAGAGGTCTTACAGTTTAGTTGTATTTGTAATATTATTCTCTGCACTAGTGGAAGTCTGGGTACAGAAATCAGTGTTGCAATTCATAATACAAATAAATTAGTGCTCTTTTTTGACCTTTAGAAGGATCTAACATAGTATCTAAGGACACGTAAGACAAATATGTATTTCCTGAATGAACCAACTCTTGCATCATATGTTACAAATAACTTAAATGTTAGTATGTTTGTAGCTCTAAGAAGCTATTTCTTCTGAAAAGAGAAGGAAAGGCTACTGCTAACAGGTACACAATGTATTTACATTAATTACAGGAAATAGAATTGCTGAGGAAGCAAGTTGACTCTCTTGCTGAAGAGAACGGGAAACTACTTGGTCATCAAAACCTAAACCAGAAGATTCAGTATCTTGTGAAACTGAAGAAAGATAACGCGAAACTTACTGAGGTAAGTTCCAGAGTAGAATACAGATGAATAATGACTTGACATAGAAGATGTCAAGCTTTGAGTATGAAAACTAAAATTCTTGCTCTTCTTTGGAGAGCAATAGATTTTATGCAGTTCAGTAAGTCATGGCTGGTCTGTCTCCTCACAGGCCCCAGACAAGGATCACCCTGTTTTATTTCCCCAAATATATAGTGTATAAAATACTTGAACAAATCTAGATACCGCTTATTTAGAAATATAAAAGACGTGAGGATAATTTCCTTAATATACCCATGCTTTTTTTTCTGTTTTACAGGAGACTGAAAAACTACGAATTGAAAATGCTTTTTTGAAAGAATCAAAAAAATGTGACATTTGTAGACATTATGATCAGCTGTAATGACACAAATAAAACTGCAGAACCATATTTTTAAAGTGTACAGAAAAAGCAAAAGCCATTTGTCAAGCTTGACTTTTGCTGTGGTCCTGGAATAATCAAGTATTTTAGTTCATAGATTTTTTTTTTTTTTTTTTTGCTGGTAATAACTCTTAGTGAAGAATGTTATACCAGCTATGCGGGCAGCTTCCAATGACATAGTAACACCTTTCTGTAATTTTCAATTTCCAAAACCGATTTTGTATAGGTGCTGGAAGATACTTCCTTGGAACTTTTGTACCTTGCCAAGGAAAAGCTTTCTCACTGGGAACACACCTGGATCTTTGTTTCCTTTTGTGCTTTTATTCAGGTTCCTACCTCTTCTGAAATGCTACATTTTCCACCAGAGCCAAAATTGTAAAAGCACAATTTCTTTGTGATTATTTCTTTAGCTAAACATAGAGTGATTTTACTGGGTTGTTTAAAAATAGTTTTAATACTGAACTTTGTTCAATACAGCATAAATGTGAATTTAGTAACAGCCTTGTAAATAGCACTATAAATATATTTTGCCTTTCTGTTCTTTCTCTATATGAAATTAAAATGCTTTTTAACCCTTTTTCCCCCTATTATAGACTTATAGTAGACTCCTATATTAGAATTGTAGGAAATTCTAAGTATTTTGCAACCATTTTCTTATCAAACAAGTTAATGTTACGAAAGAAGCTGTGAAAATATGCAGAACATTTTAGGAGTACAGCAGAAGTTTACTTAGTTGCACTTAAGATTTATTGCAGATACATGAAATGTTTATTAGTGGATCACAAAATTTTGATTTATATAGCAATATCCAACAGGCTTTTTTTTTTACTACCAGTAAGCCTATCATTCCAGTTTTTGGCTACTTCATACAGTATTTTTTTTGCCCACAAGTGCTGGGGCAAAATGGAACAAAGCAGAAGATGCGTGTCTGATAAAGGGCAGGATAGACCTAGTGAGTTTCTACATGATTTGGCTGAGGGGAAGAAGAATTTCTACCAGCTTATCTGCACATTTTAAAGTTGCCTAAGTTCAAGCTCCCACTTGAGCTCTGATGTAAAAAGCTGACCTTAAATGGGGTAGGCGGTGTTTTTTTTCCCTGTAGGCAATCTAGATAGGATCAGACCTAGAGGGGTACATCAAGGACAACACACCTGTTGTCCCTTGCGTGCTTTATTTGTTACTGCTGTGTTCTAGGTTTACAAATGTCGCCTTCCTGTCTGTTTCTGGACTATTTCCATGCAGGCGGCTTCTGCCCTTTTCTGTGTTGTATGTGGCTACGGTAGTACCTGCGTTGTTCTCCTACTCCCTCCTTTTCTGTCTGTTCAAATAAAGCCTTTGTACATAAATGAACACTGCATACGTGCATTCTTCACAAACACCCCCCCCCCCGCTCCGCTCTCGGCCGCCCCTGGGTCTCTCGGAGCGGGCCCGCCCGTACTCGGGGCGGCGCTGCGGTGGCCGCGCCCGTGAGGCGGCCGAGCGGGCCCGGCGTACGCGCCATGAGGGGCGGGCGGGCGGACGGCGGGGCCGCGGCGGCGGCTGCCGGGCTGCTCGGGGCGGCGGCGGCGGCCGCGGCGAAGCTGGCGCTGGGGCCGGGCGGGGAGGCAGCCGGCGGCCCGGTAAGGAAGGAGGGAGGCGGGGCGGGTGCCGTGGGTTCCCGTGCAGCCGCCCCGCAGGCGGCTCTGGGCGTCACGGCTGCGCTGGCGGGAGCGCGGCAGTTCTTCCTCCTGCGCTCCCAGGGGCTGCCCTGGATTTCTAGGGATAGCGGGGCGGTCTCGGAGAGCGGAGCGCTGAGTCACCTCTTGGGGGAGCCCAGCCTTGGAGGGCTGACTAATACGCGGTGTCGACGTAAACGAGGAGCAGGGAAAGGGAAGCGAGGCCGCTGAGATGTAAAGACAACAAGCGTGGTACGGGAATGCCCCAGATCAAACCCAACCCTGCTGCATTTGCAGTGGTTCTACGTCAGTGTTACTTTAGAAGCAGGATGTCAGTACTCTTTAGTATTAAATGCTTGTTCTTAGTGCACTGTTTTCTAATAACATTACTTTTCTCCGTCTTATTCTCTCTCAGCTCAGTCCTTACCAGAGCAGACAGGTGGAGCCCTTGATTTCTACTGTGCTGCTCAGCTGATCCTTGTGTGTTCGTTGGTCGCGATCTTTATCGCGGTTGTGTTTTTCAAACCTCCTTGAGCTTGAGGTTACGTGGGACTGCTGTCCCTTGACCCCAGTAGCAGTGTCCTTACCTACAGGAGTGAACTCTGGCACAGGCACAGCAGAGGTGGGGAGGTACACGAGGTTGCATGTGAGTGGGGAAATGCTGAGGTAGGCAGCCTACGCGTCTCCTAAAAACACATTGGGGAGATTAATTTCGGTATAGGTTGTTACTCATATGGCAAATGTACATTTGGATTTGAAACTAGAGCTGAAAAAATCCAGCCTTGCACCAGGAAGAAAAGAAAATCAATCCGTGTGATTTTTAGAGAGGGTTAAAAAGGCAAAAACCTAGCACCTGCCAATCCTTTTGATCTTTTCTGATAGATCGGAAAGGGTGGCAGAAAGGAAAATAAAAAAATTTAAATCCTTATACTTTTTCCAACCCCTCCACCCCCCAGAAAAAAATCCCCAACTTGTGCTCTGCAGTGAAGGAATACCAGAGCATGGAATTACTGCAAATGTTGACAGCATCTTTTCGGAGTATTTATCTATGATGAAATTTCTAAAAAATATTGCGTATTTGTTTGGGGTGGGAGGTTGGTGCTTTTTTTTTTTTTTTTAAGTGTTATGACAAAGTGTCATGTCATTGACATAGAGTGTTGCCAGCAGATCAAGGGGGATGATCCTTTGCCTCTACTCAGCCCTAATGATGCCACACCTGGAGTTTTGGGTCCAGTTCTGAGCTCTCCAGTGCAAAAAAATGGATGGAGCTACTGGAAAGAGTCCAGCAAAGTACCATAAAGATGATGGAGACACCAGAGCATCTCTTTTATGAGGAGAGGCTGAGTGAGCTGGGGCTGTTCATCCTGGAGAAGAGAAGGCTCAGGGGGGATCTCATCAGTGTGTATAAATACCTGCAGGGAGGGAGGGTGCACAGAGGATGGAGCCAGGCTCCTTCCAGTGGTGCTCAGTGACAGGACTAGAGGTGATGGGCACACCCTGAAACACAGGCAGTTTGCTCTGAACATCTAGAAACACTTTTTCACTGTGAGGGTGACCAGGCACTGGCACGGGTTGCCCAGGGATGTGATGGAGTCTCCATCCTTGGAGATATTCCAGACACTGTCTGGACATGGACAAGGACAGCCTGCTCTAAGAATGATGAGGTTGGACCACATAAACTCCAGAGGTCCCTTTCAACCTCAACCATGCTGTGATTCTGTGACTGTTTCTTTTTTCTGGGTACATTGGTTCCTTCAGTTTTCAGATCCATTCTAGGTGACAATTAAATTAATCAGTTTAGCTGTAAAACTAGCCAGGTTTTATGTAGATGCCGTAATCTTCCTAGTGGTTTAAATTGTGGAGGACTATAGACACTTAAGAGTTTCAGAGGCTCCCTTTGAATCCTACATGCTTGCTGCAAAGGCATTTCTGCAGAGCAGCCACAAAGCAAAAGAGATTGAAGGAGTTTTATGTTTAAGGAAGAGCTACAGAAGTCTCAAAGTATAATAGCAGCCATCAGTTGTGCAGTGTGGAACATGCCAGCAAATATTAAAAGTGTATTGATGCTTTTAAGAGCTTATGATGTAGGGTAGCAGGATACTCAACAACAGCACAAAGAGGGATTTCCTGGACAGAAGGATGTGTTGGGATGGCCAAGCATGAGAGTGACCTGACCAGGAGGGGTCATTTCACTTGAACAAAAGTTTTACTTTGCTTTCTCCGCTCCCCTGTCAGTCTTCATCTAAAATTACTTCTGCCACTTCAGGAGTAATTCTGGATTATCTGAAATGTACACTGAATTTAATCTATGCTTAGAAAAGCAATCAGAACAGTAATCCTTGACTCACTGGGGTGGCTCAGCTAAGTCTTCAGCTGGGGAGGAATTTATATCTCCCTCCTTCCTTATGGGGAAGGAAACACATGGGGATGTTCCTATCTCTCCGTCTGCATGCCAATGGGATGACCATTCCACTGCCCGAGCTGCAGAGGGACTTGACCTTTCTCTGATAAACCTTCCTTCTGGGCATGTGCCACCTGCAGAGCATACTGCAGCTGATTTCCCTGGCTCTGCAAGAGAAGAAGATCAGAATAAAAACCTTTGGGTTCAAGATCACTTCTGAACATAGCATAGTTGCTGTGATGGTGGGAGCCAGCTTTGTTTCACCGCTGATAGTCTCACAGACTAATTCCAGTCAGGCAAGACCTGTGGAGGTCTCTAGTCCAACCCCTGGACTACGGAAATATACTGAATTTAGGTGAAACACAGAGAATTGTTTTGCCCTCTCATCTCTTTACTCCCAGATCTGCCTACCCACTAGAGATGTGTGGATGTACATAACTGCCCCTAGGAAGGTAAAACTGTCTGGTAATAGAGGCAGAGGATGAAACTGGGAAGCAAACCCTATCCCATGGAGAGCCATAACATGGCAGAAGTTTTCGTCCTCAGAGGAGTGGTAGTATCTGGGAATGGTTGTCCCTCTTATCTCTCCCTACATTGTTGGCCAGGGTGGATAGGAAAGCAAGGGCTTCACTGGTGGGAGTGATATTGGATTTCAACTGTTGCCCTTATCGAGTTGGAGACCTTTGCCACAGGTGGGGCAAAATGAGACCACACACCTGCACTGTCGCTCGCTGGAATGGGGTTAGCCTCGGAGAGCTTGCGCCAGCCATCGAGCAGAGATTTGCTTTGCAGTCTTTTCCTTTGTACTTGCAACATCGCTTCCTTCAGAAATCCCTGTCTGCTTGCAGTATATAATTTGTTTTCTTTTGAGTGGGAGCAGAACACAGTTGGTGGCCCCCATTGATTTGAGCAGCTGGTAGGGGGCTGCAGTGCAGCCATTCCCATGGGGCAGGTACCACCTCTTAGCTGTGTTTTTTGGTGACTTCACACCTACATTTCTGTCTTCATCAAGACAAATCCCACCATGGACTGAAAGGTGATGGGCTGTGAAGCCATGATTGCTACAGGCTTAGACAAAGATTTGCTTTCCTTTGCCCTTGTGTGTTCCCTGAGTGTTTGTGAGAGTTGTTTTCTGCCTGTGATCTCCCTTGGTGTCTTCACGTCAACTACATGGTATCCAGGGGCTGGGAGATGGCCTCAATAGCTTAAACTAGGAGGGGGCAAGGGAGACTGTGAATGGTGAGGACTTTTTAGGCACAACTGTGCCCTTTTTTCAGACTGAGGCTGTTACATGTCTGGTGAGATTGTTTAAGGAGGGAGGTCTTTCTTGAGGACCTAACTGGCCTTGACAGCCCTTGAATTCAGAGGTGGTTTTGGTGCTGCTAAATGCTGGAGTAGAGACCTCTCAGTAAATCTGCTCTCCGGTGAGTGTGCAAGATAAGTCATGAAGCCCCTCAGCTCTCCCTTTCGTCACAAAGATCTCTGCTCTGCCCTCACTGCAGCAGTAATGCAGACCAGGGAGCTGGTGAGGACCAGTGCTTTGGGACCATTGGGGTCTCAGTCCAAATTCACAACAGTTAGATCCTGGACCCCACACAGCACCGGCATTTACATCTTTGGTATTTGTCCCTGTCAGTTCTGAATTTCACCATTTTCTATACATCTGTATATGTATAGTGATAAGTAAAGGGCATATCCCTGCATTTTGCGTCCACCACATCATGAACTGGAGAGTGTTCTGAAATTTGGCTTCTGGCATAGCAGCTGCTGCACGTTGTCCTAGTGCTTCCTAGCCTATAGTCTGAGGCTGAACTCACAGCAGGACACACCGGGCTCACGCTCTGTCCAGGGCTGTTTCCTCATTTCCATTTCCTTCTGTGAGTTATATATTCACCTTCATTTAATAGCAGCTGTAATTCAGCTTCAAAAGCCCATGCCGTTGGGTTTGGCTCCAAAGTGCCCATGAATTAGTGAGGTGAAAATACACAGGCTTTTCATTTTTGTCTTACAGCTGCCAGTGCTGCTTCGCGTCAGCTGTGTTGGCTTGGTGTTTGCGTGCAATGCGGTGATGTGGACAGTCTTTGCAAAAGCCTTGCGACTCTCTTCCTCCTCGGCTGCTGCCTCTGTGACAACGACAGCCTCCAACTTCATCTCTTCGGTGAGTAGATCCCTTCCCCAGGCGCTGAAGCCTGAGGAGCACAGCGATGTGAGAATGCTCACGCTGGCTGCCACTGGTCTTAGCTCATCTCCCAGCAGAACCAGCATCAGTGGCCACAAAGGGAGGGTTACAGGCA